GGCTGACAGAAGGGCCCAGCCTGACCTTCCTCCAATCTCCCAGCATCTCTGGGCACACCTGCTGGGCAGCAGGAGTGGGGCGAAAGTCCCCAAGACTCCAAAGGGTTTGGCTTGTGTGTGGCACTGGGGAGGTTCCCCTCCCAAGCTGGACCCCATCCCACAAAGGGGGAGATGTTGGCTCAACAGGAACAGATCACGTGCTCACCGCTGCAGCTGGACACTTTAGGCCTAAGCGGGATCTTGCCAAGGTTGAGAACAAGGGCCAGGTCTGATGCCTCAGGAGGCCCCATGCCATGGAGGCCTGGTGGGCTCTGGGCCACCCGCTGTGGGCCTCTAGCAGAGAAACCCAGGAAGACTTCCTGGAGATAGCCTCAGTCCTGGGATCTGCCCTGGGGAAAGGATTTGGGCTGCACTGAAGAGGAGGGTGTGAGAACAGGGTCTTGGACCACTCGGCTTTTGGTTCCAGGTAATGCCCAAAAAGGCCTGCTTACCAGGAATCGGCTCCACAGACCGAGGGGGCCTGCAGGGACACCCAGGTGCCAGGGGGACACCCAGGTGCCAGGGGGGCACCCTTCTCCCACAGCAGCAGCCTCCGGGGCGGGGCCCGCTTCAGACAGCGAGGGCAGAAGAGGCGAGTGCTGGTGGGAAGGACTTGGCCCAGGGTGGGCAAGGCTCTGGGCGGGCGCTCACCCCCCATTCTCTCTCTGCACAGGAGGTGTGGAAGAGTCTCACTGTACTAAAGGAAGGACCAGATTTTGAGAGTGGGGCTGGATCAGGATTACACAGCTGTGCTCTGTGGGGAACCGTGGACTCCGGGGGGCGGGTCTGGGGTGCTGTGGGGTCCCAGAGCAGGCTGGCGGGACAGCAGCAGCGGGGAGAGAGCATGAGGCTGGAAGAGAAAGGAGGGGGTCAGTGGAGAGCTGCCTCCTCTGTGCCCAGAAGAAGCCACCCTGCGGGAAGACGGCCCGGGCCACGAGGGCCACGCATGATGGCCCAGACTGACAGCTAAAGCCTCAAGTCACTAGCAGGGTACAAGATGGAGCCGGGGGAGAACGTAACTTGGAGCTTTGTGGGGCACCGGGCAAGCCGCGGGCAGGGGGGGCCCAGGCAGTGCTGAGCCAACTCAGGGCTGTCACACTCGGGGCTCCTCAACTACCTCCATTTAAGGAAAAAATAGAAACTTGAGTCTTAATGGTAAAGCATTAATTATTAAATCTGAGTGATTTTTGAAAGCACATGACAACAGACCTCCCTTTATTCGTCTCTCATGGACACGCATTCACTCTTTCTCAGGTGCAGATGCCACAGAGAAAGGCAGGTGGTAGGATATGGCTGTGAGGCCAAGACCCACCACCACCCACTTCACTAAGAGCCAATGGGCAGTGTCGGGGCTTACGGTGTTGCCATTGACCCCCATGCTACGGGGGATGCAGCAGCTAATTCTGCCTTCACCCCAGGTCTGGTGGCCTGCAGAACACATGATCCCCCCACAGTGAGTGACCCAGACACTAGCCATTGTGTGTCCTCACTGTGAGGGAGTGCAAAGGGGCATGCGCCTTGGGCACCCAGCACAGGTCCGGCCTCATCAGCAGTTCAGGAAGCGGAGGGGAGTCTGCTGTGCTTCCTGGGCACCCTGACTGCTGTCCTCTCTGGCACGGACATACTGGCTTTCTCCCTGAAGGTGCAGCATGTTCTCCGGCCCCCGACCGCACTTGGAGCTGGGAAAGGAAGCCTGGAGCCAGGTGCCCGCACACCTGGGTCTGGCATGAACTATTGTGGAGCCCTCTCTGAGCTTTTCAAAGGCAGCTCTCTCCGCCTTGTTATGCTTATTTGATGATCAATTCCTTAAGCTTCAGACAGAATTGGCTTGTGCTTCAATCTACAGGTGGGGCCACCCAGTTAGTCCTCAGATGGGTTGGTCCCTGTCTCTGTCCCTGGCTCCCATTCTCTAGCATTGGCGAAGGCAGGGGATGGTGGACTGCCTCGGCTCCCCACCCACGTGTCTTTAACTTCCTCCCCCAGGTCAGGTTCACTTGCCCCTTGTGGTGGAGTGAGCGATGGCCTTCAAGAAAAAAGATGTCCACATCCAAAACTCTGTGAGTGTGATCTTATTTGGGAAGGGGGTCTTCAACAATCTTGAAATGAGATCACCCTGGATCATCTGGGAACGGGCCCTGAACCCAATAACTCACACTGGATCTGAGGCAGACATGGAAGTCGGGGTGATGCGTCTCACGTGGAGCCCCGAGGGTCACGGGCAGACACCGGAAGCTGGAGGGAGGCCTGGAATGGAGCCTCCCCCGAACCTCCAGGCAGACTCCACTCTGCCGATACTTTGGTTTGGCTCTGGCCTCCAGAGCTGCGAATCAGTTTCTACAGTTTTGAGACCACCCCACCCCCTGCCCCAGTGCAAAGGTGGGCAGGAGGTCTGTCAGGAAGCCTTGCCGAGGTCCCCCAGCAGCTCAGGGCAGAGCCCAACTGGGCCGTGGGCCTCCTGTGCCAGTCGGGACCAGGAACAGCAGGGCTGCCGGGGAGGCACACCCTCAGACATCCCCAAGCTGCAGGCTAGTAGCACCGGGCAGTGACCCGGCTCCTGCTAGCTCAGCACTTCAGGCCTCAGTGGGGGGCATCCTCGTGGGTCTTGACACACTCACTGTGCACACTGGCTGTGCTGCTAAGGGCCTGCTGAGTCTTATACCCCGAGTAGTCAGTTCCTCTTCAGAAGCATTCCCCTGATGCCCTCTGTGTGCCCACGTCAAGGAGAGAGTGGGCCTGGGAATTCCCTTCCCAGGGGGTCTAGGCCTGAGCAGGCCAAGGTGGAGGGGGGCAGAAAGCACTCCTGGACGGAGCCACCACGTGGGCGGTGAGGGCTCTGAGCAGACCCGAGTGGCCATGTCTGGAGAAAGCTGAGACACACATTCCCCTTGCCCCATCCAGTCTGGGGCAGAGGAAGGAGAGAGAGGCACTGGTGCTGGGGGGAGGACCGCCTGACTGCCGGCAGGAACTTCAGCCGAAGAAGGGACCTGGAACAACAGTCGGGCTGACTAGGAGACACACCCGTGGGGCTCAGCCATGGGGGTGGCACAGGGGACAGGCAGGCAGCAGGGCCTCAAGGAGGCTACCTCCTATATAAAGATGTAAAACTGCCATCTGACAGTTCTGCTGGCAGAACAAGACTAGCAGATTAGTTCTAACCCTTGATCTCCTCAGGCTTAATATGCTAATGCTACCTGACATTGTGTGCGGAAACTCCCTAAGCAGACAGCATTCATGGGTTGGTCTGGCTGCACCAACAGAAAAATCCAAATAGCAATGGTTTCAACAAGGGTTTGTCTTTGTTGTTTGTTTTTTACATAAATTGCTGAACACGAGTAGCCCAGGGCTAGTGTCCCAAATCGGCTCCTGCTAGCTTTTTGCTCCCTGTCCTTAGTGTCTGAATCTTGCCGTGTTCTCAAGATGGCTGCCAGGGCTCCAGCCATCAGATTCAAGTTCTAGCCAGGAAAGAGGAAAAAGACGGAGGGACTCCATCTGCCAGATGAACCTCTTTAAAGCATCTTTCCTGCAAGTCCCTCCCACCACCCACTTACATGCCCTAACCACCTATCCTGTGCACTATGAAAGGTAGGAAATTATTGTTTGTCTAGGCAACTGTCCTCAATAATACTGAGGAAGTTAGAAAGAAAGCAAGGAAGAGTGGATGTTGGGTCAGCAACTTGCAATCCCTACTCAGGCAGGAGAGATCGCTATCGGAGCCTCACCCACAGACTGCAGGGAAGACACCCTGTATGCAGGCGGCCTGGGGCCCCCCAGCACTGCAACCAACGCCCATGTGTGGGCACTTTGCAGCCCTACTCTAGGTCCCCAATTCCATCTGCAGTTGAGAATGGGGGTGGGGGGCTGGAACTTGTTCTTAACTCACATTCCTACTTACTTTGTTTACTTGGGTAAGTTAACAAATTACTCCTGTGCTTGTTAGACGGGAGAGAATCCCAAAGAGGTGTAGAGGAAAATCCATCCCCCAGCTCCAGGCTGACCGATGCTACATGTAGCCTCTCCCATTCCCCAGGGGGATCCGGGCCACCCTCCTCCTGGTCAGGGACCCTCTCCCCAGCCACCGAGGCGGGGGAGGGAGGGACTCACAACTGCCTTGGGGCACTGACTTGAGGAAGCCAGCCACTGGCCGTGCCAAATATGATGCAGAGCAGCCTGTGCAGGTGGAGTGCAGGCTCAGCAGGTCCTTGTGGCCTCCCCACTTCATGGGGCACAGTACCAAAGTGTACAGGGTGTTAGAACGTGGGCTGCCTGGCCCCAGGAGGGGCTGACACCTCAGTCACAGTAAACTCTCAGCACCTGTCCTCTGGTCGTGGCTGAACAAGCCTCTGGGGCAGCAGGATGCAGACAGACACCCAACTACATCAGCTGCTCCTCAAATGCAAGCCTTGTCCCACCCAGGCAGCTTGCCCACGGGCTGGAGGGCAGCAGGGGCCTCATTCCCTAGCCCTGTCTGGCCCTCAGGCCACTAGAAACCCCAAGCACTAATAGGCAGAAGAGGTCTCCTTCTGCACAGAAAGCAAGCACCCACAAGCATGACCTGCCGGTACACGAAGGGTCCTAGACCTTGTGATGGCTGCCTCCTGAGGCTGGGCCAAGTCCAGACCTCCGGCTGGTGTGAGACCAGAAAGGGCACTTTGCTGTCCCTTGGGCCCCTCTAAATCCAGCTATAGGCACAGGAAGCCCTATACTCCACGCCCCCTGGTCAGCCACTGGAGGGTGCTGCAAGAGCAGTCGGTGGAGCCGAGGCTGCCCACAAGTCCCTCTGCAGCCTCCACCGCTGCAAGCTCTGTGGACTCCCGCCACCCAGCTCCTGCTACCCCTTCATGCCTTGTGGGGACCGCAGTTCCCTGCTCTGTCTGGTCCCTCACCTCTCCCCCTCCTTGAAAATTGCTACATTAAACTCTGCAGTTAAACCCTCTGGAAACACAGAAGGAAAACACCAAATCTGACATCACAAAACATTTAGTTGATATGTGCTACATCAGGCCTTGCCCCTGTATGGCACATTCGGAAAGTCTGTGATATTCGGGGAGAGGGAAAGGATAATAAATACACCTCTACACCACATGGTTATATACAAAACACTTCTCTTCAACCAACGGGCAGCAACGTTCTCACTCAGCAGACCTGTATCATCATCGATGTCACCATGCTGTCAAAGGCCCTGAAAACAGAAAGAGACCTGTTGGAGAAGAGACCCGCTCCGTACCCCTTGCCGACGCAGGGACAGGCTCGGTGGCACTGCTTGCGTGTGTCCCAGCACACTTCGGGAGTCAGTCTCGACCATCCAGATAAATGAACTTGGCTGAGAAGCTAGGATGTTGTCCTGCCATACCTGGCGATGGGAATCTAAGTCTCCTGCCTCCTACTCCCCTTCGGTCTCCAGGCAGGGATGAGGAGAGGCAGCGTGGGCACGCAGGGCTGTGGCTCAGCGGGAACAGGGGCCATCGAGGCCCTGCACGGCCCAGGAGACACGGAGCTCTACATAACGGCACTGACTTCTCCCCCCCAGGACCCAGGATGACCCAGAGCAGTGTCACAGCTAAAAGGCAGCGCCACGGAAGGACCTGGCTCAGGTCGCTACAGTGTCCTCTCACCTGCTGGCTACAAGAAGACCCTTGGGAAACGTGTCTAGAAATGTAGGGGATTCGCAGGAGCAGGCTAAGAGGGTGGCAATGCTTCTTTATGAAGCATCTTCATGATGTTCCAGTATTCAAAGACTGTTTATTTGAAGTTGATTTGAAGATCTCTGCAATCCACTTCCCTCAACATCCAAGTTCAATATCAAAGAATTAGGCAATGGCAGGAGGATGTTTTCCCAGAAGGCTCTGGTCCACATGCCTGGGCCCTCACTGGGTTCTGTGATGGCGCCCCAGGAACGGCTGGGCACACGTGGGAAAACAAACGGACAAGCCCCGAGCCCTAATTCCCGTTTCACGTGGGGAAGATTTGTGTGAGAGTCTGTTCGGAAAACACAGGGTTCTGCGGCACCACAGCTGCCACCTGAGGAGGGCACTGCCCGCTGCCTTAAAAAGGCCCCCTCCCTTACTTCCAGAACCACTGCCCCTCAGCGCGCCAGGGCCTGCCAACGATGGTGGAGAACCTAAGAGCAGAGGGCCCACCTGGACTGGATGCGGTCCCCTGGGTTATAGAAAGGGTTACACATCACGTCTGTGTAGGAGTTGTGCAGCTTCCGGAACATCTGAAACAAGAGCCAATGGTTTTAACTCACGTGTACCCACAATTACTGCCGTATTTTTTGCTTCCCAACATTCTAAAACAAAGGAAAAACAAACAGCCCCAGGCACGGCTTCTAAACCCCCTACACTTACACTGCGGATCTCATTGTCTCGAAGCGCCGGGTTGGAGGAATCTACCACCATAACAAACTTCACCTTGGAGTTGGTCACGTAACCGTATCTGCACAGCTGGTTAGGGAACACACTGTGAACACAGGGACTCTGTGGCAGCACGACACACGGCCTCACTGTGTGGACAGTGTGAAAGCAGAAGGCCATCTGTGCACGTCCCTGGCTCCGAGGCCACTTTGGAGAAACATGAGCAACCTTGCATCACAGGAAGTGCCCCAGGCTGGGCCTGTCTCGCAACACCAGGAGGACCACATGCGCCACACAGGGTGTGACTAGACACTTCCTCGGGGCAGCTTCTGGTGTTGACTAGAAAAGCAAAAGGCAGGCGGCTAAGCCACGTCCTGATTCAAACCTCGGGGCTGCTTGCCTCGGCCCTGTCCTCTACAAAAAAGTAGAAAAGTAGGGGTCTCACAAAGGGTAGAGCCTACCCACCGCCCTCAAAGCCACTCCGTCTTGTAGAACACGGGCTCCCAGGCAAGCGTCACTGTGGGCAAGCTACACTACTGCTCAAGGAACAGCTCCGAAGTCCTTGGGTTTCAAGCCATTTGGCCCTAGGGGAGTGGTCAAGATTCTACAGTGACTCGTAGGGGGATGGGCCTGACAATGAAATAAATGAACTGATCATCCCTTGCTCAGTGGTGGCAGCCCCTCTGAGAAAGAAATCCTTACAAGCACAAAGTAAGAACATCCCCAGCTCTTCGATAAACCTAACAAAGGACAGATGCAGACTGTCCTTTGCACAATTCCCTAGGTAATTCAAGCCTGGCTTTTCCCACATTATCCTCCTACTTAAAGGGAAAGGGACAAGGTCTGAATCAGCCCCAAGCTGCCCTAATTTCCCCTGGGCTAAAGGCTCTCACCTTTTTTTTTCAACCAATGGTTGAAAATGCCTTTCAAGGTTATCTGATCCTACATAGTACACCACACAACTGCAGGTGTAGTCCCTGGATTCGAACCCTGTGGGGAGAGGCCCGCCAACAGGCCCCTGCTGGGCGTGAAGGATACACCTTATAGTCCTCTGTGGGGTACAGGAGGCCCAGGTAGAGCTCCCTCTGGTCCACCAGGGCCTTCCCCATTGCGGAGATCTTCTCATCCACCACGTCCAGGGACGTGTGCACCATGTAGTGGAACTTCAGTTCGTTCTCCGTGGGGACACTGCGGATGTAAAGGGGGTAATTCTGCAAGAGAGGATGACAGCAACTGAAGTAATGAGAAGCCACCCTGTGTGCACCAATTATGAAAACGAGGCCAGAGCACTCAGGGTGGAGGACCAGCCAAGTGCCAAGTAGCCACAGAAAAGCACTGCCTTCAGGGAAGGTTTACATATGGTCTATGCAGGGGTACCAACAGGGTGGGCAGGGAAAAAAGATGGCTCACAAAAATGGGTTTGAGCACAGCCTGACAACTAACCATGTCACCTGGACAGGTCACTCACCTTATGTGTGAGGTCCAGCCCCAGCACATGCTCTCCTCCTGGCCCTACAATACTGGCTGTTTCCTGATAAGGTGAAGTTTCCTGCAATCTCGTCACCTTAGCAGAGGCGCTGGCATGCCCTCTCACTTAAACCCTTCAGGGCTTGGCTCAAACCTCCCTTCTCTCTGCACATCCACTGCTGACCATCTTAATCCAGAGTTAACAGGATCTGCCCCAGGTTCCCTCATGCCACAATTCACTGCTTCCGTCCCTCACCTGGAGCTGCCCAGATACGGTGAACACTACACCGCCCCTACTCTAATAGGGCTGACATCTGGTAGACAGGCAACAAATCCGCCACCCAATAAATAACGTGTTGTAGCACGTGCTAAGAAGGAAGCCGGCAATCAGGAGCTTCAAGGTGGCATACCTCATAAGCCTGATGCAGAGGGCACAAAAGGATCTAGTTAACAGGAGCATGTGGACAACTACCCAGCGCAGTGTCAGGATTCAGAATCGGCTTTCTAGAGGAAATGAAATCTACAGTGGCCAGTGAAGGGGATGGAAGGTGGAGGAAGGGGGTCAAGGGGAGAGGAGTTCCAGGTGCAAGGCCGAAGGTGAGAAAGCAGATCCTGTCAGGGAAATGCAAGTGCTTCCGCTGGGTTGAAGCGGAGGGTGTTAGCGGTATGGGGGAGGGGGGCGAGGCGACCAGATTATTCAGATATTAACCTAAGGTAATGAGAAGCCACTGGAGAAATTTTAGGCGGGTGCATCACACGATCGAATTTGTTTTTAAAGTAGCACTGTGATATGTGAGTCAGTTGGCCGAGTGGGGGATGGCATGGCCGGCTGGTGTGCGCGGTGCAGCAGGACGAAGTGGCAGGTGACTGGGGCAAGACCTGTGGCGGGCAGGGAGGGCAGAGGCCCGGGGCCCGGGGCCCGGAAGAGAGAGGAGGTCCCGGCTTGTGGGCGCCGGGGGATGACGCTTCCGCAGCTGCAGAAGCGGGCGTGGGCGGCGCCTCCCCCGGAACCGCCCCAACGCTGTCGGCTCCGGGAAGCCCACCGGCCATCCCTCCAGGGCCCTCGGAACACGGGGAAGTGGGAAGGCCGGGAGCTAGGGCGCGACCTAGGGAAAGGTCCCGGAGAGCGGCGAAGCACCGCAGCGCCCACCGCCCGCTAGCGTACGCACCTCCTTAGCGATCACGGCAACGCAAACCGCCATCTTGGGAGGCCGGGCCGGCCACGTCACGTGATACCAGCGGATCACGAGGCCCTCAGGCCCCGCCCTCTGTCAGTCAGCCGGTCCCGCCCCGTCCCGCTGCCCTAGCGGGCAAGCCGCCCGCCCTGCCGCGGCCGCTCGCGCTGGCTCGGCGGAGCCCAGTGTGGTTGCCATGGCGGCGGTTGCTGCAGCGATGAGGTGGCGGGTGCTGCTGGTGCTGAGTGTGGCGGGACTAGGGGCAAAGGGCACCCCGCAGCCACCCAATATCCTGCTCCTGCTCATGGACGATGTGAGTGCGGGCCGGGCTCCCGGGGAATGCTCCGCACGGGGCAGTGGGTTGGGACGACCATGGGTGGGGAAGGCCCGTGGAGGGTGGAGTGTGGGTTGGAGGAGTCCCATTGGGAGAGCGGCCGTGGGCACGTCAGCCTGTGTAGGGAGGGGTAACACCTGGCCCTCCGAGCTGCAGCCTCATAAGCAGGTGAAACTGAAGCGAGATAGTCGTGTCCAGGTTGGGAGAAGATCCCCCTACATTGTTCCCTTTCTTGCCCCTTTTGCTCTGGAAGGGTGGAAGGGCAACCCAGACCAGCTGCCACCCGGGCCAGGTGAGGACTCGCTACGTAGCAGCCCGTGCTCACCCCTGCCCTCCCACCCAGTGGGGGAGGGGCAGGGAAGGGGGGTGTCAAGCCCACTACGAGCCAGGTTCTGCGTACCTAGAAAGCCGATTTCTCTGCACCTGCCCTGCCCCAGGGCTGCCCCTGTTCGCCTGGTCAGGCTGCTCTGACCCTGTTGAGAATTCTAGTGAAAAGTCTGATCTTTAGCTGAAGCAGGAAGAATGTCCCCTGTCAGGTGTATGTGTTCAGCCCCAGACACACAGTCACACTTGTGGGTCAGCCATTTGGAGAGTAGGAAGATATCAGGATTGCTGTCAGGGAGCTGAGTCGTTCAATTGTCCCTTTGCAACTTTATCCCCTGTGCTCCTTTCCAGAAGAAGCAGTGAGTGAAATGCAAACTCTGAAATTAATCAGCGTGAGGCTTTGTGGTACCGTGGGCATGCAGACAGCCTGGGTGGGTGGATCCTACTCCCTGAGCCTGGAGAAGTGACTGAAACTGATCCAGCCTTGTCTCCGTTCTGTCCAGTTCTCCTCACGGCGATGTGACGACCGAGGCAGGGCAGAGGACAGGCTGTGATGTCGGGTCCCATGGTATGATATAAGACAGTGTTCTGGCATACAGCTCCTAAAACCCTTGGCGTGATAGCGGTGTCTGTGGTGTGCTAATGAGATGGCTGGGGCCCTGGGTAGCTTCAGGAAGAGGTCCTCAGAAGACCAAGGTATGATCAGAGGGTTGACGCTTTCAGCGCAACCCTGACCTCCTGGGAGAGAAGAGTGGCTAGAGATTGTGTGCCCTCACCAGAGGTTGATGATGATGATTCAATCAACTGTGCCTTTGTGATGGGGGGGCCTAAATACAGGAACACATGGAGGAACTGGGAGGACAGCAGGAGAGGGTGGATAGCTCCTTGCCCCTTCCCCATACCTCGGCACCTCTTCCTGAGGTGTGTCCTTTATAATGAAGTCATAATAGTAAATACAACACTTCCTTGAATTCTATGAGCTGTTCTAGCAAATTTTGGAACTTGAGCAGATCTGTACCCCCAACTATAGTAGGTTGGTCAGAAGTTCAGGAGACTGGGGACTTGTGGCTGAAGGGGGGCAGTCTTGGGGGACTGAGCCCTTGACCTGTGGGGTCTACGGCGACATCCAGGTAGATAGCGTCAGAACTGAACTGAATTGTTGGACTCGCAGCTGGTGGTGCCTGGAGGGTTGGAGAAGTGGCTGGTGTGGAATCCCCCACATAGGTGGCGTCAGGAATGGGAATAAATATAGCTCGGAGTTCCTCAAAAGGCCAGCACAGCGCTCACAGGAGCCTTTGGACTAAGGCCAGGAGCCTCACGTGGCTGTTGGAGAGTCCTCGGTGGTCGGAATTGAGAGGTGCTGAGTGTGTGAACTACTCTCAGATTTTAAAGAAGACTCAATACAAGAAAAGGAATGCTTAAAAAAATCTCAATAATTTTTATTACAATAATGATTTTGATTATAAAAAAATAACAACACTTAGGTGAGCTTGCAAAAATCATGGAAACCCATCCATAATTCCACCACCCAGAGATAACACTGGACCTGCTTCTTTTTATTTTTTAAAGATTTTATTTTATTTTTTAGAGAGGGGATGGGAGAGGGAAAGAGGGAAACATCAATGTGGTTGCCTCTCGCACGCCCCCTACTGGGGACTGGGAATTGAACCAGCCACCCTTTGATTCGCAGACGGGCACTCAACCACTGAGCCACAACTGCTGGGACTGGACCTGCTTCTTTTTAGTCTCATAAACACATCCAGATGATGACTGCTTCTAAAGCAGGCCCTGCAGCCCCTCAGCCAGTCCCATGCTAATGGCCAGTAGAAAAACCACTTCCTAACAACACTTTAGTCTTGGAAGTGCTTGCTTTTTGTTTCAGTATTAGTCTTCTCTAAGTTGGAGTCCCTGCCAAGGCTTGTTTAAGCAGTCTCTTTTGGATGGTGAGACTCCAGCAGAGTGCTCTTTCAGATTTCTGCCCCTACCCCTTCCCTCCAGGGTGGCAGTGGGTGTGTGAAACAAGTCATGTGCCCTCCAGTTTATTGAAGGCTTGTTAAAACTGTAATATTTGGATATACACACGTACTTCAGAGACTCTGCAGGTCTAGTCCCACCACCGCAGTGGAGCAAGTATTGCAGTAAAGAGAGTCTCACAATAAAGCAAGTCGTGATCTTCTTGCTGGTGGAGAGTCTTGCTTTCAGTTTGTTTAAAAAAAAAACATGAAACACGTGTGAAGCAAGATAGCAAAGCGCAATAAAGTGAGGCTACTAGGAAGTGCAAACTTACGCAGGTAGCTCCTGTGTATTTCTGTTGTTTTAGGCCCTGGAGGTTCTGAGTGGTGGAGCGTGACCAGTGCTGGGAGTGTTTTCACTCAAGGGCGCTGATATGAGAGCCTCCCTGCTTGAGTGTGCCAGGGTGGGGTAGCAGGAACCAGAACAGTGACCAGAAGCCCCAGTGCCAGGCCTCTCCGGTGCAGGTTCCTTCTTGTGGCTTTGGGGTTCTCTGGCAGCTGAAACCAAAGAAGTCTAGAAGACCTTTGTCCCAGTCAGCAAATGTGAATAAGCCAGGCAAATAACAGAAAATGCATGCAAAGTGCCTTAAGCAAAATAAGAAAACCAGCTCTCCTGACTAGACAGGCTGGAGCAGCTGTGACTTCTGGTAGCAGCATCCAGAAGCCCCTCAGTGTGTCCTCACCTGCCCTTACGGTCAGCAGGCCCAGTGGGAGGGCAAGCTGCCTTGCAGACTCAGTCTGCACCCCTGACCCAGGCTCACTGGCTAGGGAGGGGTCTGCTGGCCTGTGCAGCCAGGGCTCGGGCCCATGCCCTGCCCCACCCTCAGAGAGCCAGTCAGGGGGCAGGGTGGGATAGGCGTGCAGACCCTTTCATCCAGGGGGGTCCTGGCGGGGGTAGGGATAGCTTCTGCCTCCTCTTTCCCCAGTGTGCCCTCAGATCCGAGACAGACCCCTGTAGACATGCATTGGCTGAGTTTGGATGTTGAGAACCGTTTCTTCGGTGAACCTGACTCAGCTCTGTTCTCCAAGGCTGATGAGGCTGAAGTCGGTGGGGACAGAGCTCCCTCCCGGGGCATCTCAGCCCAACTGGGTCCAACACCACTCCTGCGGCCGGGGGCCTGGCTCTCTTCGTGTCTGGGTCCCTTGTCTGTAGAACAGTACTAAGGAGGGCCGCCCTGACTGCCGAGGAAGTTGAAGTCCAGCTGCACGGAGGCCAGCTCTGAGGTGACCAGGGTGGGCTCATCAAGCAGGTGCCCCCAACCTGAGCCTCCGGAGCCGGTCAATGGACCCTGGGAAGTCCTTCAGTCACGTGTGTCTTTATAACAGTCCCTAGTAGCCAGCGGTGAGTGATGCCTGCATTGCTCTGAAGTGTCAAGATTCTTGGTGAAAGGAAGGTGGAAGGCAGGAAGAAGATTAAGTCCAGAGACCCAGCTGGCTTTTGTTCCCTGTGAGCGTGGGTGGTCCTGCAGGAGAGGGAAGAAGATACTAAACACTGCATGTGAGATGATTTCATTCATTCCCTAATAATTGCAAAGTGGATGTTAAAATTCCTATTTTTGTAGCTCAGAAAGCCAATCAACAAGTAATAATAGAATGGTATTGAGCCGAGGAAAGTTAACACAGTGGGCCAGTGACTGCTGGCTGCAGAAAGGCCTCCCTGTGAGTAGGCTGGCCCTCGGCCGGCGTCTGGGACCTGAGATTTGGGGAGTGTCCTACCATTCCCCAATAAGAAGGGCTCCCTGTGCTTACACTGTTTATGCGAATGTGATGGATATTGAGCACCTGCCTTCCTCCTAGGAGGCTGGAACTTGGGTGGGTGCCAGGCAAAGGGCACCATGTGACCAGCCCCCCTGCCTCTGTTCCTCCAACTCCTAGAGGGACCGCAGCTCACTTGTGCCTGTGAGGATAAACCGCACACAGGGTGGCGTCAGGGTGGGGGCAAGAAGGACCCTTGAGCATGCAGCCTGAGCGCCTTCTCCAGGGCAGGCCTCACACAAACTGTACCGTCTCAGCCTGCGCCAGGACTCTTGCTAAGTCAGCAGGCACCACTGAGGATGCTTTCCTGCCGCCCCCCCGCCCCACCATCCCCACTCAGGGATGCAGCCTCTGTCCCTGGACACGCAGACTTCCTGCGGGGCCTCGGGTACTCGGGCACATTATCCCTCGTCCCCGGAGAGCACCTCACCTTCCTTTCTTCTGTCATCCATCCTTCTCTCCAGGCACATTTTTATTTCAGCTCCTCTGGTTACCAAATGGAAAAGCCACTTCAGTGACTTCAAAATAAACCGTCTCCAAAGAAATCCAAAGTTGCAAGGGTCTAAAGCAGGGCCCCACAACCATAAGGGCCTTGGAGAACAAACGGCACAGTGTAAAGGCGAAGGCCCTGGGTGGGTTCTCAGACCCTGTGTGTCACGGCCAGCCCACAGCTCGGAGACAAGGACAACTGGAGATGGTGGTGCCTGGGAGAAGCCTGGAGGCCAGACGTCACCAGAGGCAGTGTCACCCTCCTGCGCTCAGCCTTACGGGGAGGGCGGCTATATAACCATGCATGCAGAGAAGGGGCATTAACGATTTCAGTCAGAGAGCAGACTGGCTGGGGCCATCCTGGACAAATCTGCGCTTGCAGCCACCCACGTGTGACCCAGAGCTCCCAGATCCCTTGATGAGATCACTGGACCCGACTCCAAAACCTCTGCAGAGTCAGCCCAGTGTTTCGGAGTTTTCTGGGTCAGCACACTGCCGTGTCCAGTCTTAGGCGAGCCGTTCAGACCCCTGTCCTTGCATGCAGGCCTGAGACTTCTCGGCCAACTCACCAGAGCCCAGTGCATGAGAAGAGCGGTAAGAGGCCCCTGGTGAGCTGGGGAAGCACCAGGGTGTTACAGACTTCAGCAAAAACCAAGTGCCTGCACTTTTCTCACTGCTCTGTTGAGATGTGGTTCACAGTAAGTGCAGCTCACCCAGTTGAAGTGCACAACTCAGCCTTGTCTGGCATGGCTTAGTTGGGCATCACACTGAAAAGTGAAAGGTTGCCAGTTCGATTCCCTGTCAGGGCATATGCCTAGGTTGTGGGTTTGGTCCCCCATCAAGGCACGTGAGAGAGGCAATGATGTTTCTCCCTCTCTTCCCCTCTCTCTAAAAGTAGGTAAATAAAGTCTTTTGAAAAACAAAGTGTACAATTCAGCGATTTGTAGAATAGTCACAGCCTTGTGAAGTCATCACCACAGGCAACCTCAGATCATTGTCATCACCCCAAAGAGGAGCTCCATCCCCACTGGCAGTCACTGCCTCTTCTCCCTTCGCTCCTGGCCGTTCACAGTCTGTTTTCTGCCTCTGTGGTTTGCTTGTTCTGGACATTTTAAAATAAATGGAATCATATAATATTTGTCCTTTTGTGATTGGCTTCTCTCGAAAAGCATCATGCTTTTGAGATTCGTCCATGTCATAACATGCATTAGTATTGAGATGGCCAAGAAGTTCATTTGTTTTTTTCTATAAGATGGCTCTAGCAGTGCTTAGTTGTCTTTTACATCATTTGAAACAATTTTGTTAGATTGTGTTGTGACAGCTGTCATATCAGCATGCATTTAAAACAACTTATCAAAATTGGTGAATTTTTGTGTCGCCATTTTAGTATTGAAGATGGAAGGAAATTGTCACCATTTTCAGCATATTATGCTTTATGATTTCAAGAAAGGTAAAAATGCAAAAAAAGACTTGTGCAGTGTATGGAGAAGGTTCTGTGACTGATCGAATGTGTCAAAAGTGGTTTGTGAAGTTTCGTGCTGGAGATTTCTCACTGGACGATGCTCCACTGTCGGGTAGACCAACTGAAGTTGATAGCGATCAAATTGAGACATTAATTAAGAACAGTCAATGTTATACCATGTGGGAGAGAGCCAACATACTCAAAATATCCAAATCAATAAAGTTATTGATGAAAATTAAAAATATGTCTTTTATTTTACCAGAAAAAAAAACTAAACAGGCTTTTTGGCCAACCCAGAACTTCACTCCTTTTTTTGTGGCTGAGTAGTATTCCAGTGTTTGGGTGGACACATTGTGTTCGCCCATCCTCAACTGGCACTCGGTCATCTATACCTTTGGCACCTGGGAGCATGCTGCTGTGGACGTCATCCGTGCAGTCACACACAGACACGTTTTGGCCTGTGTTGCAGAGACACTGGGAGTGGAATCACTGGGTCCGAGGGTCACTGCAGGTCTGGTGCTCAGACACTTTGTCAGGAGGGAGAAACGTGTCTCTCCATAAGGGGAGGCTGGAGGCTGGAACAGCCTTGGCTCTCTGGGTCCTGTTCCACAGCTGGGGCTCTTTCCCCCGCTGCCCCTCATCCAGGAGAAGAAGGGACGGCAGTTAGCCACTATGGAAGTGACGCCCTAGGGGCTCGTGCTGAGGGGAAATCTAAGGAGACCCAGCCTGGAGGAACCTTGTCACATTTCATCTAGGCCATAGTCATGCTCCATAGTGTGTGTATTCATTTCCTGGGGCATACCAAGTTACCACAAATTTGGTGCCTTAAAACAACAGAAAACTTTTCTTTCCCAGCTCTGGGGGCCAGAGTCTGAAAGCAAGGTGTTGGCAGAGCTGGTTTCTCCTGAGACTCTGAGGGAAGTGCCCCCCGCCTCTCCTCCTCGGCTCGTAGACACCTTGCCCCAGTCTCTGCCTCCGCTGTCTTCCCCTGTGTCTATGCCTCTCCTCCTCCTATGAGGACTCTGGTCCCTGGGTTCGAAGCCCACTCCACCCCAGCATGGCCTCGCCTCAGGTGACATCTGAACTTCCTTGTAAGATCTCATTCACAGGTTCCAAGTGGACATAAACTTGGAGGGCTGCTATTCAACCCCATGCCAGTTGGATAGACCATGTTGTGTTTATTTATTGCCCACTTAATGGACATGGGGGTGTTCCCTCTGGGCCATCACAAACTGTACTGCTGTAGACGCACATGGAGTTTTGTGTGGTGTGCGTTTCAGGGGTGGAACAGCTGGGTCACATGGCCACACTCCACTGAGCTTTGTGGGGAGAAGTTCCGTCTCAGCCTGTGCAACAGACTTAGAGGGCTTCTCCACACCAAGGCCAGGGTGGAGCTGAGCCCCGAAGCTCAGCCATTGCCCATGCTTTCTGTGCCGGGGTCAGGCATGGGGTTGTGAGGAAGCTCTGGGGCCCAGACCCCAAAGGTAGAAGGAGGTTCAGTCCACCCATCCATGCTTTTTCCTGCAGATGGGGTGGGGTGACCTGGGCGTATATGGAGAGCCTTCCAGAGAGACCCCAAATTTGGACCAGATGGCCGCCGAAGGCATGCTTTTCCCGAACTTCTACTCGGCCAACCCTCTGTGCTCACCATGTAAGTGAAGGCTAGCCCGGGGCACAGGCGGGTGCGGGGGTGAGCACAGCAAGAGAGAGCAGACACAGTGAACAGGCATGGGCCAGTGGGGTGGGGGGCATGAGGAGCAGACAGCCCTGACAAAGGCAGCAGCTTCACTGCATCTCCTCTGAGGGCCAGGAGGTCGGGCAGGCATGTTCCCCCTTCCCATTGGCTCCTGGACACGCTGGGTCCTGGCTCCGTGCTGTGAGGGGGCGGGGCCTGAGGCCACTAAGGGCTTGTCCCCTGTAAGGATCTTTGAGGCCTAAGTCGCTGTATGTGGTGGTGCTGATTTCCAGGTACTAAGTGCTGTGGCTTATTCAAAAGCTCTTGACTGGGAAGTGGTTCTCCACTATGGGGAGGGGGTCAGGGTCACAGGGCTGTAGCAGCCTATTCTTTTCCACGTCCCCCCCGCAAGAAGCACTACTGCTGGGGGGCTTCTACACAAATGCTAACCTTGAGGAAGAGAATGAATGCTGGCTCGGGGAGGGGGATGGACATGAGGGGCCATGTGGGCCCCACTACTCAGTGTCCCGGGAGCCAGAGAGAGTAAGGGGGGGCTGGATGGTGCTGAGCTGCAGGGCCTGGCCAGAGCTCCAGGGGGCCCCCCCGAGCCAGTCAGTGCTGGGATGGCCTGCCCACCTGACTCAGAGGCTGGTGGACTGGGAAGCTCCTCAGAGCGTCCTGACTCGCCATGTGTTCTCACCATGTCTCCGTTTTTTTCACCTCCACACAGCCAGGGCGGCCCTGCTCACCGGACGTCTGCCCGTTCGCAATGGCTTCTACACCACCAACGGACAGGCCAGGAACGGTGCGTGTGTGCTGGGCCTCGCTGAACGTCTGGGAGGCTGGGGACTAGAGGGGGCAGGGCAGCATCTGTCCCCTGTTCTCACATGGGACCTTCCTTCTCTAGGACAGCACTTACTACCCATGGTCAAGGGCTTTGTCTGGGATAAAACAGGTCACAGCACTTTCATCAAAAATTGTGCATTTTAGGCAAGTAGAAAGGAAGGTGAGGTTAATGTGAGGTCTTAGGGACTCGGGGCAGAGCTCCTTCCTGCCTCCTTCTTTGAGGAGGGTGGCCGAGGCCGATGAGCATGGCACACTGGTCCTTCCCTGCCGTATCCTGTCCCAGGACTGCCCGACACAGCCTGTGAGTTGGGCATGCTGCCCCCTGCAAGGGGCTGCTGCCGGAGGAAGCCAGGTACCGGGAAGTTAGTAGGGCACAGCCCTTAGAGAAACATAATGCAGAAAGCAGAGGGGAGCCCAGCATGGGTGGGACCCTTATGGCATCAGATGGCATTTTCTGGAGACCTCTGGGCAAATCAGCAGAAGGGGTAAGAGCCGGGGACTCTGCCTGATAGTCCCAGCTCCTCTGGGGTAAGGGGCACAGTCTGCCCTGTCCGTCCCCACCCAGTACTGTGCACACTCTGGGGAGGGACCTGGAAGGCCCTAAAAGTACCACGCGCCAGTGTCAGCTCCTCACCGGCTTTTCCCATTGACTCAGAAAGGCCAGTGTTCAACTCTGTTACCCTCTCTGTTAGCCTGCTCTGTGGGTGTGGGTGGTTCACGCATCGTGGTTCTCTTCCAGCTTACACACCGCAGGAGATCGTGGGCGGCATCCCGGACACCGAGCTGCTCCTGCCCAAGCTGCTGAAGCAGGCCGGCTACATCAGCAAGATCGTGGGCAAGTGGTGAGTGCCGACACTTGCCGGGCTGGGCACATTCACACAGGGCCATTGCTAAACATCTCCAAACAGGGAAACCTCCTGGGTGGGAAATGGTATCTTTGGGTTCCAGGTCCGTTTAGATGCCTGAAGCATTCCTTTAGAAGCTGGGGTGGCCGTGCCACTGGGTCTTCCCATCTCCAGATCAGAGTGTGGTCTGGGAGCCCATCGTTCTCGAATATCGCACACCCCCACCACCTGCCCCTTCTCTCCGTCTGCTCCCTGTGCTGCCGCTACCACGGCGTCACCAAAGGAGCCACACCATGACACCCGAGGTACTGCCGTGGATGGCACACTCTGTCAGCAAGCACAAGGGCTCTGTCCGGTGGTGAAATGCAGAAGCAACCAGTGGTCAGGGTGGCAGAGTAGGTCAGTGTGCTCACCACCTCCCACGACCACATCACGTTAAAGCTAAACTACAGGACAGCCATCACTGAGAACTGCCTGAGGTCTGGCTGCACAGAAGTCCAGTAGCTAGGGATGCCCAGAAGATGCCATGCTGAGACTGCTGTGGTTATCAGAGGTGTTTCTGTGTCATTCAGAAATATTGTATAATAGTCTTTAAAATCCTGGGTTAAAAAACATTGAGAAGCAAAAAAAGAAGCAGCAGCAAACAGTAGGTAGAGAATCGTCATGTGGTCATGCAGTATGGAGTCCCTAGTGTTAAATGATCACAACTGAAGAGGCTCACATGACCACACATGGTGTTCACGCTGTTTTAAGCATCTTAAGTGGTTTCTGTTGCTTACTCCCTGAGGATGCCTAAGTGGGTTGGTGTAAAGGTCAGACATCCTCATTTCTTTTCTGGGTGTTGAGGCCTTGGGAAACAGGAAGCCCACTTCCTACAGGAAGCCTCCCATGATTTTCAACACACTGTGAACCCTTTTCCCGTAATCACTCTGACACTCAGCAGTATTGCTCTCTCAAGGGTGAACGTCTTGTCTGTGCCCTTTGGGAACTGCTGCTCTTTGCTTGTTGATCGTCACAGGGATAGGCAATCTGCAGACACTGGGAGAGTAATCATCAGAGGTGATCTCAAAGCTGCCTAATGAACACTTTCTCCCTCCTGAGACAAGCCGAGAGCTGCCTGCCAGGCAGGCAAGCCCAGAGGAGGTGGTGGCTGCACAGCAGAGCTGGTGGAGGCATATTGGGCTGCAGGAGCCCTTGTTGCCCGCACGGTGCAAAGCATTAGAAGGCCCAGGGAGACTGGCAGAGGCCGGCTGTGAGGCCTGCCAGAGCTGTGTCAGGGCTGCGCTGGCAGAAGGTAGAGCCCCCAGTGACCAGAACTCAGTGCCTGGCCTGGCAGCTCTTCACTGGCTCTGGCAGCCTCCCACTCATAGTCATTGATGGGGGTAGCCAGGAGAGCTGGAATGGAAGTGTATCTCCATGAGGAGAGGTGAGCACAGATGCAGAAGAGAGCTGGGCGGGGCCCAGAGAAGTAGCTCTGGGTGAACTCGAGGAGGTGGACTCAGCACTGGTGGGTGGGCCAGGGTCAGGGCGGCCATGGCCAGAGTGAGGATGGGGTCTGGGAGGCCCAGCGGAGTTCCCAGTCTCAGTGGGGGTCCGTCCATAGTGGGGGGATGTTGGCTGGCATGGTTGTGACTGCCCTGACATCCTGCCTCTGGGCCCCAGCACCACGGATCTGGGTTTCCTCGGCCTAACCAAGGCCTGGGGTGGATGGAATTTGGTCTCCTGTAGAGGCCACTCCATCTTCCCTGAGCTCCAGCAAGCTGAGATGTGATGCAGACCCCACTTGCCTTTGGGTAGGGCTGGCCCTGCTGCTGCTTTGAAATAAGCACTTGGAATTGACAGCTTAGCATGAACAGGTCCCTGGGTGGTGTTTCTGCCAAGCAAAGGCCGTTTGAGCTAAGGGACATAGGAACAAAAGAGAGTCACACACAGCCAGTGCTAGAGTGAGGCATTTGGAAATGACTGGGCATGTGGCAGCAGCCCAGAGAAGACACAAGTCATAAACAGGAAGCACAAAGCCCAGAGGTCACCGCAGAGCTGACATGCACCTGGCAGAGAGGCTGCAGAGGCCCAAGGTGGGCACCAGGCAGCTGCGTGGAAGCAGAGCATTTTGGAACCAGCAGTGGGGAACTGGGGCCCCAAGAGACACACTTACTGTCGCCCAGACTCAGGCTGGCTGGCTCAGTTCTGGCCTGCCTCACTGCCGAACGTCAGGTTCTCTCTGACTGAGTGACTAACTGGGGCACTGAGCTCATGGGGACTTGGGACTTGGGACTTGTGAGACCCGCTGCAGGGCCTCTTGAGTGGTCATGATGGGGCCTGCCCAAGTGCAGCAGAGGGACAGGACCCTGTTCCCTGTGCTCAAGGGATGCAGCTTTCCAAACTCATCTCTGCAGGAGGCTTTCCGCAAACAAAAACCTAGGAAACCCATCCACTCTGCAGGGTGGGGTTGGTGCTCTCTGCAGAGCCGGAACCCAGAACCGCGGTGCTCTAGAACTACCTTCATAGCTCTGTACTCCCAAGAACAAGTGGGGCTGGGCTCAACCACCACTAGAACCCAATTTGGATGGGAGCATCTCAGCACCTCTCATTGGCGAGAGGACCCTACATTAGGTGCCCCCAAGGGTAAGGGGCATGTGAGGAGGGAGGAGCAGGGCACAACCCAGCGAGAAGCGCTCTCGGCCTTGCATGGCACCCACAGTATGTGGCAGGAGTTTGCAGTCAGCCACTCCATTCCAAGCAGACACCTGGGTATCTGAGCAGTTGGCAGTTGTCACCCTGTAGACGCATTGCTGTGTTTTCTTCTGGTCATGCCCGTCCTCCTTCCTGGCCAGGGCACCGAGCTGGTGAGCAGCAGCAGCCTGTCCTGGCCCTGCTGCAGCCTGACCCTTAGCTGTCAACCTGGCGGAGTTCACTGGGGGAGGCAGGTGGTCCTGACGCCGCCTTGAGGGCAGGATCTTTCAGTGCTGGCCTTAGCACGCTTTGGGTGCTGGGGAAATGTTTCCTCACTGAATGCTCTGCAAAGGTACTGGGGTGTTGCTGCTCGGAACTTTGGGGTGTCCCCGTGCGGGGCTTCCTGAACTGTCCTGGATTCCTGTTCCTAGGCATCTGGGCCACAGGCCTCAGTTCCACCCCCTGAAGCATGGATTTGATGAGTGGTTTGGATCCCCCAACTGTCACTTTGGACCTTATGACAACAGGGCCAGGCCCAACATCCCTGTGTACCGGGACTGGGAGATGGTCGGCAGGTAACAGTCCCTTCCCTTCTCGCCCTTCGGTGCTGAGCCCAGCAGCCTTGCCCCCGTGGCTGCCCAGGAGCTGGACGGAGTTTCTGGAAGCACCTTCCCACCAGCACTGGTGTCCCGGGACGCTGGGCCCTGCTTTGGCAGCTGGTGGCCCTGCCCAGAACCTTCTAGGACTCATGGCCTGGGCTACTGTTCAGCCACACCTAGGGGATCTCTCACCTTTTTAGGAACTATGAGCTTTCTGTGGTTTGTAAAATTCTTACCTGATAAACAATTTAGGACAGTGAGAGAAAGAGACAGAGAAAAAGAGGACGAGAAAGAGAAAGAAAATAGGAGAGCCAAAGATGCTCTCCAGAACAAGGTTTGTCCACACGGTAGCCATTCACTTGGTTTCCGGGCTCAGGTCCTGGGCCCATTTCAAAGGCCCTCTGCCCTCTGCCCTCACAACGTTGATGTGTCGGCTCCACATTAGGTGCTAAGGACATTGGCATCAGCACAGAGGGCCTGATGGGATGAGGCCTGCTTCCGAGCCTGCCAGGAGTGAGTCACCACCTGAAGGCCGGGTGGCCCCGGGACGGCCCTGGTCTTGCCTGCAGCCCGGCAGTGGGGTGCCCGGCAGTGGGGTGTCCAGCAGTGGGGTGCCCAAGCATGGCCGTGGCAGGCAGGACCCTGGTCTCTCGTGAGTCTTGCTTGGCTTCATCTTGTTTCATCTTTTTTCATTATTAATTTTTGGTTGGACCTAACTATATATCAGTAGACCGAGACACTAGGCCCATTTGTTGCCTTTTTCTTTTTTTTTTAAGATTTTATTTATTTTTAGAGAGGGGGGAAGGGAGGGAGAGAGAGGGAGAGAAACATTGGTGTGAGAGAGAAACATCTATCGTTTGCCTCTCATGTGCACCCCAGCGGAGGACCAGACCTGCAACCCCAGCACATGCCCGACCAGAACCTAACTGGTGACCTTTCACTTTGCAGGACAATGCCTAGTCAACTGAGGCACGTTGGTCAGAGCCGCTCATTACCTTTTTCAATAGTAGCTTTGTTAAGAGAATTTGCACACGAGACAGTTCACCCATTTAAAGTACACAGTTCAGGGCTTTCTGGCACACTCACAGCCATGCAGCCATCACCCACACATCTGGAATGTTTGTGTCGCCTCAGAAAGCAAACCCGCACTCATTCATGTCACCCCAGGCCCAAGTGCCTCCTGCCTGCCTCTCGCTCACTATCCTCTCTGTCCTTTCACGGCGCTCCCCATCCTTCTCCCAGACGATGCCCAGGCTCAGCCCCACGTTGACCGTGACCTCAGGAGCAGCGTGAGCTTCCGATTGCATTTGTTTGTAGATTGAACATTTCCGTCATTCTTTTAAATGAGGCTCGTGAGTTTGCCTATGAAATCATGGAGAAGAGGCTTTTTTTTTACCTGAAATCTGATTTCTGTCTGGGTGTGTTCATTCAGATTTTATGAAGAATTTCCAATTAATACGAAAACTGGAGAAGCCAACCTGACCCAGATCTACTTACAGGTAACCGAAGCCCGGCTGGTCCGGCTCCGGGGCGGGGGTTGGGGGGGGCGTCCACCTCCGGGCAGAGGCTCACGGTGTGTTCTTCTCCCCAGGAAGCTCTGGATTTCATTAAGAGGCAGCAGGCAGCCCAGCGCCCCTTCTTCCTCTACTGGGCCATCGACGCCACGCATGCACCTGTTTATGCCTCTAAGCCTTTCTTGGGCACCAGTCAGCGAGGGCGGTGAGTCCTTGGTCATAGAGACATAGACACCCCCCCCACCACCACCTACACGCACTTGGGAGGTTCAGCCATGCTTGATTACTTCCAGGGACATGGCATTCAATGCTATCATGCTTTTAATGATCAGTTGTAGAAAAAGACAGAAGCATTTGTGCCTCTGAAGCTATCCACCAGCCCAGGATGAGTGGGAGGAATGCTACAGTAGTGTGGGCAGCTCTCTCCTAGACCAGCTCTGAGAACTTGAACTTTCCTCCTCCTCCTGTGAATTCAGCCAGTCCATTTCATCGTCCATCCCTGAAGTTATGATTTAACTGCTGTTTAATCACACTGATGCCCTCGGGCACCTGGCAAACGTTCCATCTTCCCCATAGCTATGGGGATGCTGTCCGGGAGATCGACGACAGCGTGGGGAAAATCCTGAACCTTCTTAAGGACCTGAGGATCGCGGAGAACACGTTTGTTTTCTTCACATCCGACAATGGTGCTGCCCTCATTTCTGCTCCCAAACAAGGCAAGTGTTCAGGGTATTCCCTCCCGAGACAAGGCTGCACTTGGGAACTCTGGCCCCCTGAGACACTCCGGGTTCCCCCAACCCTCCCTGGGGGCAGAGTGTGAAGGGGGCTCAGCCCACAGGGCCCAGCCATGGGGGAGATGCCCACTCTCCCCCGAGAGCGCTGCTTCATAAGGGAGATGTGCACTGTCCTCCCGGGCCCCGTCTAGTGGGAGCAGATGTGAGGAGGGAGACGCGAGAGCTGCCCCGTGGGATTGGCTGGGGCCCAGCCACTCACAAGACGGCAGGGCTGCCTGCCAGCACCTGCGTTCTGTGATGCACTCTTCTCCCCAGAAAGGCTGGAGCACCTTGGCCTTTCCTGGCCCAGGAAGGGTGTGTCAGTGTGTGAAACAGCAACTGCCCAGGCCCCTCTTCTGAGTTGTTCATTGTTTCAGCTCCCGCAGAGGGGCCCGGTCAGGAGGGAAAGTCAGTGGGGGAGATGGAGACCGAGGCCAGGACTGCCATCCTGTTCTAGCTGTGCCACTGATTGGCCCTGGGAGCGGGTGACCTCAGCCTCCTGCACATTTAGGAGCTGAATGAGGTCACTTCTGGGCTTTCTTCTGTGAAGCTCTGATGTTCTCCATCAGCGTTTTTATTCTAGACATGGTGGCCATTGTCCTGTGCCTAATCAGCCACACTTGCCCCTTTTTCTGAGTTTAGGGACCCTCCCTGCATGTGGTGGCAATGACCACCTCCCTTGGGAGCTAAAAATGCAGCAGACACACTTCCCAGACCCCCTGACAGCTAAGCCCAGACCCCTGCCCCCCAAAGCTCCCTTACCACGACCTCATGAGGGGTGGTGCCCACAAAGGAAGGGACCAAGCCCCCCCGCCACACAATGCTGGCTAATGGAAGCACCCAGAGCCCCACATCCCCCAGACCTGCTCTGGGTCTCTGTGCAGGAGCCAGCCAGGCCTGCAGGCCTCCCGAGGCTCGTGACCCCAGGTCCCTCAGTGATCTCTGACCTCCATCTCACAGAGTGAGCTGGCCGCACGCACCCTGGCGTTTTGTTGTCCTGTTAGAGTTTCACACTAGTGGCTGCTTATCTTTTGACCCCATTCTTCTAACAAAATGCTGGGGCCAGTGGAGGGCCCTGAGGCACCCAGACAGCTCTGGAGGGAAGGCCACAGATGGCAAGAAACCCCCTGGGGACAGGCCTGCATGCGCAGGCGCTGGGAGACCCTGTGGTCGGGGGCTTTCAGGGGCTTCAGGATTTCAATTGACAGGAACAGCGCAGCTGGCTCAAGTCAAGAAGAAACCCTGTTGAAGACAGAACAGCAGTTCCGGGTCCAGGCCCAGCTGGTCCAGGGCCCCAAGGATGCTGTGTGGTCCATCTGTGACCCAGCCCCACTTCTGGGTGGTCTTCATCTTCTTGCAGCTGACAGTCTCGGAGAGGGCTGGACCCCCATCTCCTAGCAGAGGCCCAGGGCCAGCTGAATGTTGATGTCACCACCAGCCCCCGAATGGGATCCACAGGAGAGTCCTCCCCTGAGAGCCCAGCCTTGCCAGAGCCACCAGCCTCCCAGTGCAGGCTTCAGCCGAATCACCGCAGTCTTCATTTCTGCAGTGTGGAACGGCACGTGCGGACAGAAACGTCCGTGTACAGCTCTCAAGTCTAAGTGACGATGCGGTGAAAATCCACGCACCTGCCAGCAGCCTGAGAAACAGAAGGAGAAAGGGAGCGGGCCCTCGCCGGCACCCTGAGCCCTGACTTCCCAGGACGAGCGGGTCCCCCGCGTGGTGCTGCACGTCGCCTCACTCTCCCTGTGCTCGCACACTCAGAATCTGTCCACGCTCCTGTGCTGCCCTTCACGTGTAGGCGCTGCTCGCCCCCTGAGACTGCCCAGGCTGACGTGTGGAGGCGGCGTTCAGGTTCCGGCGCAGGGATGGGCTGAAGCGCTTCCTGCTAGAGACACACTGCTCCAGTTCATTTTCTCCGTTTTCCAGGGGCCTGAGGCGAGCCCTGGGCAGTTCGTGCTGCAGCCGCCGCACCCTGTTTGTCCTCGGGAGCCGGCAGAATGTCTGGGCAGCCAGGGCTGGGGCTCTGCCCTCTAACACTTCCCCGAGCACGGGTTAGGGACCACCTGCGCACAGCAGGGCCTGCCAGAAACGACTCTGCATCTCGTGCGCAGTGGGACACCCCTCCGGGGCCCAGGGACAGGGCTCCCCAACCCCAAGCACACATGGACACTCATGGGCACCAACATTTAAGAAGGGTCATACCCGAACAGCAGCAGGAGTCCCGGTGACCTGGGTCAGGGTGCGCTCCGTGGCTCCACTGGGAGTGCGTCTGCATCCTGTGCCAACAAGGGCGGTCACGTTCTCCAGTTCTGCGCTGAGTTTCTCCAGCTCTTCATCTTAGGACGGAAAAAATGGGACACGATGTACAACCAGAACACCTGTGCCTGGGGCGGGCGCCTGGGTCAGAGCCATCTGAAGGTGTTCCGACCCTGTGGCCGGCCCTCCACCTGCGTGATGGTCTCGGTGCCTTGGTGTATCGGCAGTGCCACCTTCCAAAGGCTGGGTGGGACCAAGTGCCCAGCAGGGCGTATGTTGTTGCCCTGGGGACTCAGAGCAGAGACAGCTAATGGGCAACACCTCTCCCTCCCCAGGAGGCAGTAATGGCCCCTTCCTGTGCGGGAAGCAGACCACATTCGAAGGTGGAATGAGGGAGCCAGCGATTGCGTGGTGGCCTGGTCACATCCCAGCGGGCCAGGTGAGTCAGAGGTGGCCACGGGGCCGGGCCTGCGGTCATTCTGGCGTGTGGAGACTTGGCCCCCTCATAGGCCTGCTCACTCGCTCCACTGGCTGCTCTTGTCCAAGCAGGGCACTTCCTCGGGGGGACGGCTAGTGAGTGGAGGGTGCATGGGATGGGCACCAGAGCAGCCTCCCACGGACACGGCATGGGGTGCTTGTGGCTGCCATGGGGGAAGGAGGCATCTGTGGTCAGTCCGTATGGCAGCCCCGAGCACCACCGAGTGGAGCCGGTTTCTTTCCCACAGGACCTGTCAGAGCCCTCCCCAGTGTGCTGATGAGTACAGCGAGCTGCTGGAAGGGGCATAGAGCAGGCTGCGTTTTTTAAGTCTTGTTTGGCCCTAGAACCTTCGTTTCCAAAGTTCACCTCCCAGGCCACCGTTCTGCGGACGCGCTCCCAGGGACCGCAGCCACCCGACCGTGTGGCTGGGGTCTACCTGCAACGCACAGTGCAAACCGCAGGGCTGGGCGGCCTGGTCCTCCCGCTGGATGAGGTGGCCTGTGTCCTGCTCCTCAGAGCCCTCACTCAGTCCCCACAGCTGAGCGTGGGGTCTTCTATAACCGGGCACCTTGACTGAGACGCCCTTGAGGTGTCCAGACTAACGTTTGAAAGCCGTGGGTCACTGTTTCGGCTGGCCGTTCCCCTTCCAGTGAGCTTCCCCAGAGAACACTGTTCGCTGGGCTGGTGTCAGCCCAGCCCTCAGAGCAGAACCCCGAGGGGCCTCTGAGTCCTGTGGCCACTGAACAGTCACTGCAACAAAGGGCTGGAGCCACACATCCGAGTGCTCTCTCAGCCTGGGGGGCGGGGTCCAGCACCGTCTCCCGGGGCTAAAACCAGGGGCCTCGGGGCTCGCTCCTCCTGGATGCTCCGGGGAGAACCCGCTTCCTCGTCTTTTCTGACTTCTTGGCCCTTGGCCCCTCCTTCCCTCCATCATCCAGGCCGGCAATGGCCGTTCGAGTGTCACCCTGTCACCCTGATTCTGGCCCTCCTACCCCTGTCCCAGTATTAGGACCCTCTGACTACCCTGAGCCCACCCAGGTGCCACCAGACAGGGGCCTGGCCCTGAGCGGGGCTACCCAGGGTCAGCTGGAGTGTGTGGGTTCTTGACTTTGTGTAGGACAGACTTCACACCGTGAGTCCAGGTGGCTGTGAGGCACGTTTATTAAAGCCGGGGACAGAGGAACAAAGAAGGGCCGAGCATAGAAGAAGCAACAGGAGAGCCCGGGCTGGGCTGCCCCAGCTCACTGGGCAGTCAGAGAAGAGGGGCCTTGGGGACAGGCTCAGGGGATCGGCCTGGGACAAGCTGCCACTGCCCACTGCCTAGAGTTTAGGAGACCCGTGCCTGTGGGGGAAGAAGCGGGGAAAGAAGAAGGTAAAGGGAACAGTGGGGGCTGCTCCCCAGAAGGAGAGCACAGGGAGCTGAGTCCTTTGTCTTGAGTCTTGAGGCTTTTATCTCTCTCTTGCAGGCAGGAATCTTAGGGGAGTCTTGGGGCAGTTGTAGGAGAATATTCGTCACCTCTCCAGGTGCTTTCAGGGTCGTCATCTCCACTGATTGGTCAGGGACAGGGCAAGGGGTCTTCAGTCATCGCAGTTGGTCCTGGCGTTGCCCACCTGGTTCTGCTGCTTTTCTGGGCCTGGAGCTGAAACACAGCTGAGGCCTAGATGTCACCTCCAGGGAGGCGACCTTTTGTATCTGGCCGTGAATTGCTCGGCCACTGTGTCCAGCTGTCTGCCTCCGTTTCCCTGCTCTCCTTCCCAGGGGATTTTCCCAGCTTCTCACTGTCCTATCTCACAGGGCCCCAGGATCAGCCTGTTTAAGGTCAGCTGATTGACAACCTGAGTCCCCTCCTCTGGCAGGGGTGTCCAACCTTTTGGCATCTCTGGGCCACACTGGAAGAAGAGTTGTGTTGGGCCACATAGTAAATACATTATGACACCTAATCACAAAAAAAGTCAGTGTTTTAAGTAAATTTACAATTTTGTGTTGGGCCACATTCACAGCCATCCTGGGCTGCATGCGGCCCATGGGCCCCAGGTTCAACACCCCTGGTAAGGCAAACTGTTCAACAGGGCCCAGAGTGGGGGCCTGTCTGGAGCCCACTCAGCTCGTGCACTCCTGGACACTGGGCCTGGAGGCGGGAGCTGGGACAGTGGGGAGAGCCCAGAGAGCCTGTCACCATCATCACCCCCACTCTAAATGTTGGCAACTGAGGCCCAGCAAGAGGCAGTCTCTTGTCCAGGACCCCCAGCTGGCAAGTGGCAGAGCTGAAGCAGACTCCCAGGTGTTGGGGGTGGAGCCCACCCTCCTTCCCCACCCCTCCCCGCACTGCCTCTCCCCTAGGACCCCTTCCCCACCTGCTCTGCCCCGGGGAACCTCCAGCCTTTGGGATCCTCTGCGTCTTGCCTGCCTGGCTCCCTGCCCCTCCGGGCCCTGCTCCCTGGAGGAGGATCAGTGCACAGAGCTCCTCGCTCAGCCGCCTTGCCTGCACCGCGTTTCAGGGCGCACACTGAAATTGAATTAGACGGGGCCATCAGGCCTGCGCCCTGTGATAACTATGAGAGGATTTCATTTAAAAACACCCTGCCATTTGTCCAACCAGTTTCAAATATTTAACTCTCCCCTTCACGCCTGGCGGGGTGACTTTATTAATTGTAGCCTTTGATTCTGAGTTAAGTCTTGAAAGTGCTGATAACAGCCTCAGTGACTTCCTGCCACGGGCCCACGGCAGACAAATTGCATTTTCTTAAAGGCATTACGTGCACATGGAGAGCGTCTATTTTTCAAAAAGAGCATCTTCCGTGAGTGCGCACAGCTGGTCTGTGCTGATATGAGGACTTCAGATACCCGCTCCTTCCCACACCGCCCCCACCCGGCACTGCAATCTCTCCTCCTCATTTATTTTTCCAGAGGGCTTAAAGTATCTGGATTTCCCTTCCTTTTTCTTTCTTTCTTTCTTCCCCCTCACCTACCTCCTTCCCTTCCTTCCTTCCTCCTAAAAAGAAAACTGAGAAGAGAGGGGAGCCTCCCTCTCCCCTGCCCCCTCCCGCTTCAGACTTTTTGAGCCAAATGCTGACCTTCATGCCCCAGCCTACCCTGGGCTGCAGGACAGATGACACCAGTGGCTGTCACACGTGTGCAAGGTTTCTGCAGCTTCTTCCTGTGCAGAGGAAAGGGAGTGAGCGTGCGCCAGGTTGTGGAGAGCGCTGAGCTGGGCAGTGGCTCCAGTTCTCAGCCGAAGGCAGGAGTAGGCAGGAGTGAGGGGTGACGGCCTTGCCAGACCTGCCCGCAGGCTCCCTGGGGCCCTCCCTCCCCAACCTGCTCTTGCCCCCAGATCCAGAGTCTAGGAGTAAAAGGGTGGGAGCAGTTCCTGAGGGGCAGAGCCGTGCTCGGCCAACGTGCGCCTGGCCCTGTGAGAGGCCCCTCTCCGGGAGCAGTCTGATCCTCGGCCTGTCCAAGAGGTGACCTCCCCCGGCCGGCTTTGTGCAATTGGACCATCATGTTTGGTGGGCGTGGCCTCTGGGAGAGGGGCCAGCCTCACCCCCTCCCCAGTCCATCTGCTCTCCCCTCTGTCCCCGCCCCCACACCTTGCTCTCCACGCTGCTCTGGGCCTTGGGGGCCTGTTTTCTACCCGCACTCGTACCTGAATCGGGAATTCACGGTGTCAGTGTTAAAACGACACGACAGCCAGGCTCAGAGAGGGCAGCCTCCTGAGGCGGGACGCTGCTGCTGGTGGCTCCCTGGGGGGCCGCATCTGCCCCTTTCTGTCCGGCTCCCACTCACAGGCACTTGGCAGCAACAGGGGCTCGGCATGGGGGACAGGACAGGGTCCTGCCTGTCTGGGGGAGGCCACTCTTCCAATGAGGAGAGTCATCCCTCCCTCTCAGGCCCTGAGGTAGGAGAGTTGTGTGGTGACCACACTCAGCCAGACACCTGGGGATGCGAGGAGTTCTAGGAGGCCTGGGGTCAGGTGGGATGGGGGCCCGGCTGGGTGAGGTGGACAGGGCTGGGCACGTGCAGACACACGCGCATTGTGTTCTCATGTGTGGGCACATTGTAAGGGACGTGGCTGCCAGTCCGTGTGTGTGAGCACGCGTGCCTCTGTAGACCCAGCTGGACGGCGGCAGAGCACACACACAAGGGCTGGGTGTCCTGAGCGAGTGGCCACGCATGTCCATTTCAGGTGAGCCACCAGCTGGGCAGCATCATGGACCTCTTCACTACCAGCCTGTCCCTTGCGGGCCTGGAGCCACCCAGCGACAGGGTGATCGATGGCCTTGATCTCCTCCCCGCCGTGCTGCAGGGCCAGCTGGCGGACAGGTTAGTTCCCGCCGGGTGCCCTCCCCTGCCCAGCCTCACAGCACCCAGTGACCCAGTGACGGGCCCAGGCTGGCTGACAGAGCCGGTTTCCTCACCTGGCTGGCTTGGGTGATAAGACCTCTGGGACCTTCTGGCATGAGATGTGTCCTCCCTGTGGGGTCCATCACTCTGCCCTGACCATGGAAGCAAGGAGGGGACATCCCTCTGCCGGGGTGACCAGCTACCACAAACCTCGGCAGCCTGGCCGAGTCCTGCCTCCCTCTTCTGCACCAGAGCGCCTATGTCCAGAGTCAGCTGCTCTTCAGCTTGAGCAGAGACCTGCTCCCCGTTCTGGGTTTAGGGCATGGATTAGATGGGCTTATGTTCTGTTCTTTTTTCATTTTACTGTGGGGCAGGGAAGGTGGGCCCAGTGAGCCGTCCGCCCCTCAGGGGGACCAAGCTCTGGCAGCCGTCCGCTGCCGCCTCATCCCGCCCGGGCCTCCCGAAGCCGAGGATGACGGGCACCATGGGCTCACCCCGCAGCACCAGGGGCCTCGCAGCTGGTGCCCGTGTGGTTTTGGCATGGTCATTCCCATAAAGCCTCAGCCCTGACTGTGTGCCCACAAGCTCCTCACGTCTCCTGACCCTCTCCTCCCTCCCTAACAGGCCGATATTCTATTACCGTGGCAACACACTGATGGCAATCACCCTCGGCCAGTACAAGGCCCACTTCTGGACCTGGACCAATTCCTGGGAGGAGTTCAGTCAGGTAGGGAGGCTGGGGGCTGTGACTCTGCACCCCCATACCCAGTCCTTGAGGAGGACACAGCCGGGCAGAAAGGGCTGGCAGTAGGCTTCTTTGGAGCGGTGATAGCCATGTGGTCTTGTGCTTCCTACCTTGCATGTTTATCCATGGCAAAAATTGGGGGCACCGTGGTGTGGCTACGAGGACGGCCCCTTAGGATCCTGGGGCACCCCATCCTCTCAGGCCACCCAGTGCCCAGGGCAAGGAGCCTCTGGGCAGGCTCGGGCTCAGACCCAAGCCAGACACCTCCAAGTGCAGGGGAGCCCAGGGTGCCTTCCCCCGAACCCCTCCTGCTCGTCCCCCTCCAGGCCTGGTCAGGGGCTCTGTGGCCCCTCTGAAGGGCTGTCATAGTGTACGGATCATGGTGCCTGCTCCAAGGGCTTGTGGGTAAAATGCCACATACAGGCGGGGTCCCAGAGTTCTCAGCTGTTGTTCTGTGATTCCCGCTGCCTCTCAGGGCACCTTTCCGCCACTGCCCGTCGTGCCTGCCACTGCCTCCTCCTCCACAACCCCTCCCCGCAGCGTGCAGGTCTTTAGGCACAGGAAAAGCCTGCTAATGTGCTGTAATTGGGATGAAAAGCAATTTAAGTTAATGAAAAACCTAAGTACTGGAACACTCCGTATCACTTGGGACACAGATCGCAGATTTCGTAGCCCCGGGTCTGGTCCCGGGCTGAGTGGGCGGCACAGCCAGGGGCCACCTGTGCGGTGCCCAGACCCAGGTGCCTCGTGCAGACGTGGGTACTTGGGCAGAGCCGAGGACGGCGTGTGCTGCTGCCATGTGGCCCAGTGCCTGAAACGCACTCTGGCGTGGGGACGGCGCAGCTGGACCAAGCGAGCCTTTGCTTCTCTTCTGCCCTCTGAGCTCCTGAGCGGCCTGTGGGCTTCGTGGACTTTGTGACAGCAACCCCCAGCCTAGCCTCTTCTAGAACTCTCAGTGAGCAGCATGGCAGAGCCATGTCCTCTGGGCACACTTACCTCCCCAGCCCCCACTGGCCCTTCTGACTTGTGACCATCACCTCCTGTCCCTGTTGCCCGACAGGCTGGGCCATGCCTGGCTTGCCCTTTTTGAGAATCCGTAGGTGCACCCAGGAGGGGCCCAGGGATTGGCAGTCTGGGGACCCTAGGGGGCAGCTGTGAGGCCTCGCTTCTCCCTCCCTGCCTCTCCTAATCACACCCACAGCTCCCACCTGGCCTCTAGGGTCCCCATCATTGGCTGCTTGGGAGTCTGGGAGGCCAGCTGGCAGGTGTGGCTGGTGTTCTGGGAGCCACCCCCGCCCCCCGGGCCTCCCTGTGGCCACGTGGGCTCTTGTGGCCTCTCAGGGCAGGTCCCGTCAGCCCTGACCCCAGTGAGACAGTCCAGCTCCCACCCACCTGGGGCTCCAAAGGGCACACGGCCTTCGTCCCTCGAGAGGTAAAGCACAAACCACCCCTCTCCTGCGTGTGCAGACACCAGAGGGGCCCTCCTCTCGAAGGCAGCGGCTGGACACAGGGTCAGGCTGCGGATTCACTGCGTCACGGTGCACTCGCAGGGGCGGCTGCACTGTTGTTTGATGGCCATTCTGCCCCCAGGGGTCAGTAAAGGGGTCAGTGAAACTAAGGGGTGCATGGCGTGGGAAGGCCCTGTGGCCATCAGTAGCCCCCCTGAGCACCAGTGGAGACGTCGATCCTCCTCCAGAGGATTGACACCTTAGGGACAGCTCTGTTCAGAGGCTCCGGAGGGCCCAGCTGGGGCCCAGCAGCCAGTCCTGGGCTAATTCTCCCCAGGAGAGGGGGAGGCCCGGGGTATGGCCTAGCTGTGTGTGTGCCAGTCTGTGGTCCCCAGGTCTGGGGGTCACCTGAGTGCATCTTATTAGCTTCCTGGCTATATGCTTGTCCTAGGGCATCTCACATCCCCTGTAGGAACCCCCTCCCCAGTCCTGGGGTCCTGCTGTGTGGCGACCGCCAGCCCAAGCCCCGGGCCTTCCCTCTCCTCAGGACCGTTGGATGGTGGAGGCCTGACGGAGGCCACTGCCCCAGGTACGCATGCCCACGACCTCCCACCATGGGGGCCGCCTGGGGCCCTGGGTAAGAGGCCAGAGGGAGGCATCTTCCAGCGCCTGCATTTCCAGGGCACACCCCCCCCCATACACCCCTTCTCACCCTCCAACAAGGCCAGGGCAGCACTGCAGGTTCACTTGCTGGAGAGGAACGGGAGGCTGGCTCAGCTGTGATGCCCCCAGGGCGAGGCCTCCCTCACAAGACAACAGTTGTAAGAGAAAAACCCTGTACTAATTAGCAGGATCTTAATTAAATAGCTTCTTTGATTTGCATCCAAATTATAATTTGTGTCTCCTGTCTAGACTTAGATACTTCTCCATGAACTGCTCAGCATTTTTACGCTGACTGCAGTTACCTCTCCCGCTGTTCCGTCCACGTTTGCTCTCTAGCAGCTCTGCTCCCGGAAGGCCAAAGGGTAGCCCTGCGTGCCTGCTGCTGGCCACCCTCAGTGACTTGGACCGCAGCCCCTGGCATGAGAGTTGACTGCTCAGTGCAGATAAATGGAATTTCGTGGGCTCCTAACTTCCCTGCTTTATTGAAAAGCATAATGTTAACTGCTCCAGTGACCAGCTGTCAATTACAGACACACCGGGCTTAGAAACAGTCTGCCCGTCAGCAGCACTAACACAGAAAGCCCATTAGGTGGTTACCATACGTGAGTCGTGGCTACCTCTCCGGACCCGTCGGTCGTGCCCTGTGTTGGCTGGGGACTGACACCAAGCCACTCGTGGGGCCCGGGGTCACCAATGCCTCAGGATGCGGCCCTTGGCCTCTTCTGATTTCCCCAGGTGGCGGGGGGAATTTTTCCAAGTCGGAGAGACCCAGGAACAGCCTTCAGGCCTTAGGGACAGAGTTCCAGACTGCAGGCCACTGCTTCAAGGGAGCCCCTGGCCCAAGGCCACCTTGGGGCCTCAGAGCCACCCCAAGACCCAGGCAAAGCTCAGACCACACACAGACGTCGGAAGCCCATTCCACATGCACATCAGGCGGTACAGCCTGATGTACCAGGGGCCCTGGGTGCCACACCTGAGCCTTGGGGGGCCTGGTGTTATCTGCTCTATCTCTTCCTGTTTCTTGAAGATATTCACTGTTGTCATTTTAGGGTCCCTGCCTGTTAACTTGGGTCCCCCGAGGGCCATTCCTGTCTCTGTGTATCTCCAGCCTTCGGGCCGTGGTGCCTCCCACCAGTGAAAGAGCCTTAAGCGAATGCTGAGCCTTGAAGTGGATTGAGTGATGGTGAAAAGCTTTGCTTTGAAAGAGCGATTTTCAACCAGTGCGCTGCGAGAGTTGTTGAAACATGCACACCTGACTGTGCAGTGGAGGGCACTGACTTCTTTTCTCTTAGACTGTCACATTTTTTAAAATGTGTCGACAGCCAACACAATAGCCACCTGGTTCAAATGACTCAAAATTATATCCAAAAATTATATCAAAAATATATTATTTTTTGTCAGATCAGCAAAAAACATTTTTTGGTGTGCCACAGAAATTTAGTAACTAGTTTATGTGTGCATGAAATGAAAAAAGTTGAAAATCACTGCTCTAGAAATTAGAGGTAGTCAAGCCAGGTGGCTCAGTTGGTTAGAGCATCATCTGGTACACCGAAGGGTTGCAGGTTCGATTCCTGGTCAGGGCCCTTACCTAGGTCTCAGTTCAGCCCTCGGTTGGGTGTGTGCAGGAAGGAGGCAGCCGACTGATGTTGATGTTTCTCTCTCACGTCCATATTTTTCTCTCTCCCCCTCTCTCCCTTCTTTTCTCTCTAAATTCAATAAACTGGTCCACAGGTGAGATTTAAAGAAAGGAGGAAAAAGAAATTAGAGGTAGTCAAGATGTGAGATGGGCTAAAATAGTTGAAGAAGGGGGTTCCGGAAAGTCCAGGGGCCAGTACACGGGGCATCACTGCTCAGCAGCCCTGGGACCAGGGGTGGCTGGCGGGAAGGCTCCGTCCGCCCTGTAGGGCCCACCCACCGGCCTGCTGGGGCCTTCACCACTCAGACTTGTTCAGGGCAGACTGGCCGGCCTTGCGGCAGGCGCTCCCTCCGAGACTGTGCTCACCCGCCTCCCCTGCCTCTCGTTTCAGGGTGTGGACTTCTGCCCTGGACAGAATATCTCGGGAGTCACCACCCACACGCAGGAGGAGCACACAAAGCTGCCTCTCATCTTCCACCTGGGACGAGACCCGGGGGAGAGGTACCCCCTCAGGTGAGCAGGGCACAAGGAGGCCTTGAAGCCCCAAGGAAACGTTAGCCAGGCCCAAGCAGTGCAAGCACACGCCAGCGTGCTGAGTTTTCTAGAAGGGACAGCATGCTGTGTGGACACCGGAGATGCATGAACGCAGGAAGGGAGGCCTGGGGCCTCCCCTCCCCCTGGAGCTCTAACACCTGTACTGCGGTTTTCCACGTGGGGCGTGCGTGTTGTGGCCTTTCCTCCCCAGGTGCCCCCATCTCTCCCGTTTGTCTCCTCACTCCGTGTGGCCCAGCAACAGACAGGACTTCTGCCCCAAGCTGCTTTCGGGGATGGCCTCGGTGGATGGGGACAGTCCAGGCATGGTGTGGATGGGAACCTCTGCACATGGCCACCCTCTGCTGTGACAAGCAGCACTAAGGACATGGATGGCAGCACCGCCAGCCCAGAAAGACCCCCTGGGGGTCAGATGGGGCCTCTCCACGCTATTGGGGAGCTCTGGGGGATCTCTCAGCAGCACCTCGCTCTATTGGAGCTCTATCCAGCTCAGTGGCTGGGACCATGGGGAAGAAACGTGGAGGGCCAACACCGTGGATGAAATAGCATTCCCTCAAGTCGGTGGCCACCAGGGCTTTTTTATAGGCAGACCGGTCAGGGCGCACATTCCTGCCCTCGCAGCCTCCAAGCCTTTAGCGCACCTTGCTGATCCCCTCACGGCTGAAGCGAACATGGACACCCAGGCTCGGGACCCCTCGAGGTCAGGAGGACAGAGGGGGCAGCTGAGCCTCCGATCGCCCAGCCCTGTGGCAATGCATACAGTGTGGCCTCTCAGAGTCAGATGTCCACCTGAAGGTCGGTGCAGTGAGCTGGCTGAGGTGGACAAGGCTGGGTACAAATGCTCCCCCTGCCCCTCACTGGCTGTGGGTGTGGCCAGAAGGCACCACTTCCTGCCTTCACAGTCCCAGAGACGTGAGGTGGTGGTGCCTGCTACTCAGAATGAGGTTGTGTGGACCTCACCCTCCTGAGAGAGCCCTCCTTAGATCCACACTGTCACAGTGCAGGGATGCTGTGGCATTCAGGGTTATTGCCCCAGCTATAACTGGATGCCCCCTTGGGCACCCACTGACATGCCCTGCTCCCTCACAAGCTCACAGCACCTTGATCCTGGGCTCCAGAAGAGGAGGCTGGGACCTGGGTTGGGACATGACCTGCCCAGGGCCACTTAGGGGGCACGGCTCTGGGCAAGAAGACCCTGGGGCCATTGCCTGGGCCGGAACCGTGCAGGGCTGAGAGCAGAGCCTCCCGGAGCCTCCCACCTGTGCTCACACTGTTTAGAGGAGCCTCGTCCCCAAACTGCTGGACCTGGCTAAGCCCCTCTTTTCCAGCGCATTCGGCGACGGATCCTGGAAAGACATGAAACTCGCCTGGGACCTACTTTGAGTAGCCTGGGGGCTGTGTGGGGAGGAGGCACAGCCAACTGAGCAGGGGCACCGGTCTGGTGGGGGGCCTGAGGAGCCAGGCTGGCCTGGGGGCAACAGTGTCAGATGGGCGAGATGCGGCAGTCGAGGCAGGGCCAGCCACACCTGAGAGAAACAGATCTGGGCCTCCTGGTCCCCAGGCCTCTTTCTAGCCCAGCTGGGAGCCTAGCTGGGTGTCCCGCCACACCCACCCTGTCATATCACGGCCCTCCCCGCCTCACCGGTCTGGTGCTCTCTCATCTCCAGCTTTGCCAGCACCGAGTACCTGAACGTCCTCCACAGGATCACCCCAGTGGCTCAGCAGCACCAGGAGGCCCTGGTCCCCGGGCAGCCCCAGCTGAATGTATGCAACCGGGCGGTCATGGTAAGGGTTTATGCGTGGCTATGGGTGCTGGGAGGGTGCAATTCCTGTGTGGGGCGTCCCCAGAACCATGAAAGTGCTGTGGGGTCTGTGCACCCTGGCTCAAGAGTCCCAGAGACTGGGAAAGAAGAGTCTTTAGTGACTGGAGGCGAGGGGAGGGGAGGCAGCTGACCTGGCTGGGACGCTGCCGCCATCTCCTGGCCACTGCAGGAACTGCCACAGCCTGACCACCCCTAGAATGGGAGAAAGTAGAGAAGCCCCCTCATACGTCGAAAGTGAACAAGACAAGTGGGAACAATGTGGGTCAGCCTCCAGACTTAAAATGAGCAGCCACAGGGGAGATGTGTGGATTTACGTGTGTGTGAGCACAGGTGGGTGCGTGCAGAGTGTGAGGGGTCCCCCACGTGTACTGTCCATACCCCTGGCCCTCCTCAGTCCCTGGATGGAGGAAAGGTCTCACTCTATGTTCTTGGCCCCTCCTTCACACATACCCCCAAGCTCCGCCCTGGCCCCCATACTTCCACCCTCCCCGCCATGCTTCCAGGCCCTCCAGCTAAGCCCTGAACCTCCCCCCCACACACACTTCCAGCCCCCCAGCTCAGCCCTGGGCCTCATATACCCAGCCCCCCAGCTCTGTACTGAGCTCTCCTCATTTCCAGGCCCCTCAGCTCAGCCCTGGACTCTCCCACACACTTCCACCCTCCAGCTCACCTCTGGGCCCCTCAGTTCTGGGCCAGCCCACCCGAGGACTCAGTGTGGCGGCCTCTGGGCTGACAAGCCCAGTCCCATGCAGCCCCCTGTGGCCATTGAGCAGTGGTCGGCTGTCCTGCCCCAAGGCCCTGGCCCTCCAGAACCCCCAGACTCATAGGCCAGGCCCAGAATCGGTTCTGCGGGAACTTACTGCCCTCTCTGCTCTACCTGAAAAATCAGGGACAGCTTCCTCATGCACACCCGGCTGGACACAGATGGACAGCCCCTCCCCACATTGGCAGCCGGGGCTGGACAGAGCTTTCCCTATTGTTGATGCTCCAACTCATTAACACTCAGGTCTAAGATCCTGTCCCAGGGTACTGCCCCCAGTGATTCTGAGTCTCCCAACTGTGGCACAGGGACAACCCCTGGACACTAGAGGACATGGCAAAGCCAGAAGACTCCCTCTTAAGGTTATGGGGGTGTGTCTGTCTCTCTTTCTCTGTCTCTCTCTGTTGCCAGGAAAAATGTGGCCACATACAGTAAGTCTGCATGTCAAAGTACACGGCTGGGCTAGGGCTGCGCTGGAACGGGCCAGCTCTCCGCTGGAGAAAGGGTTGCTGACAAGAGCTCTCTGTGGGGAATCGTGCGGAGGTGTGTGGAGTCTCCCTGCCCCTGCTGGAGCACAGAGCTCCCTCTCTATCACAGCAGGCTGTGTGCAGGCCCTGGCCTTGGATCTGCTTGGGAACATGGCCAGGGTTTGGGGCAGATAGCAGACGGTCCCCACCCGGACGATAACAGAGGGCTCAGAGGCGGCCCCGCCCCCAGTGGCCACTCACACCATAAGGCCTCATGCTTTTGCCCTCATGGGTGTCCGGGAGGGCCTCCTGTGCTGACATCACTTGGGTTGCAGTGGAGACAGTGGTGGCTTCCATGCCACAGCCATCGAATAGGCCGGGTCAGGGGCCAGGCAAGGGAGCCATCTGAAACCTGCTAGGTCCAGAAGTGCTCAGTGTCGAATAACTGAACATTCTCTTTCTGAATTTTCATTTTCCAGAACTGGGCACCCCCAGGCTGTGAAAAGTTAGGGAAGTGTCTGACACCCCCGGAGTCTGTCCCTGAGAAGTGCTCCTGGCCCCATTAGCACCTGCTCCGGCCCAGGCCCTCCCACTGGTCCTGCAAGTGCCTGGGGGTAGGAGGGTCTGGCTCCACACTGGAAGAGCTTCAGCTGCCCTTTGCCCCGCCACCACCAGGGGGATGTCACCGGCAGCCTGCAGCTGGACCTGCGAGGCTACACTGCCTGGCCCTGAAGTCACTCCTCAGCCCTCTTCCTGGCCCACCTGGCCCTGCTGCCTTGAGCCCTTCATCAACCTCTGAGCTAAACGCTGTGCTGACTACAGGTCTTGGTCCTCCCATCTGTCTCATCCCCCCGCTTGTCTCTTACCACCTTCAGACTGGCCTTGTTCAGGCCTGGCCTTCGTCCCGGACCCGGAAGTCATGACTCACCGTGGATGCCCTGGCCTGTCAGCTCAAGCACTTCGGCACCAGTGTCAAGGGAGGCTGTGCCAATCCTGTGTTGAGCCCCTTGGCGCTGCACAGGGAGATCCTGGCCCCACCTCCCTGCACCACACCACATGGGGAGGCAGATGGCCTCCCTGACCTGGACCCTGCATTGCCAAGGCCTCCCCCACTCAGTGGGGGCCGCTGCTGCTGCTGCTGCTTCCCTGCAATGTGAGGAGGTCGGCACCCTCGATTCTCCACCTTCCATAGGGATCTAGACCCTGGACTGCAGCACACTGTGAGGTGTGTCTCTCCCGCACAGGAATCCTGACTGCCTGCCTCCCCTTGGTGCCTGCTGCGGCAAAGCACAGGCCCGGCCCGGGTCGGGTTGGAAGAGCCCAAGCAACTGAGCGCAGACTCCAAGGTCGCTCCCTTGAAGGCATGTGGAGCTCCTTCCATTGAGCAGCTTTTCACACCTGCAGTGATTATCTGCCCAAACTGTAATTGCTGTAAGTCAGGAAATTATAAAGAAAACAGTTTCAGAATAAAGTAACAGGCATTTTAGCTCTTGTTTTTTAAGCTGAGATTATGTTTTAGGGGAATTGTCCCAAGGGTACCATGGTGGGGGGCTTCGGTGGTGCCGCCCTTAGCCTCCTCCACAGACACAAGCACCTTGCTCTCAGAGGCAAGCCTCGGCCAAGCCAAACATTCCAACCTCCCTCCTGCCCCCTCCGCAGAAAGGCGGGCAAGGGCTTCCACCTACTGCAAATCCCACCCCAAGCCAGGCACCAGGCACCCTATGTTCGGGCTTCCACCACTGGTTCATGTCCTTCCCTAGCCAACCCAACCCAACCCAGGCTCTCTGGTCCTCCCCGAACTGTGCCCCAGCTCTGACCCTCCCCTCCAGGCTACTGTACGACACTGCTCTCCCGCTCAGTACAACTCCCTCCATCCTCATTCTCGCCCCCGCCCCCCCAGTCCCTGGAGGGAAGGCCCAGACCACTCCTGCACATGTCTGCACGTGCATCTTTGCATCTTCGGTGTGCATGCTGCCTGACTGCGTGCCACACCCACAGACCCACCCCCTTGCACCTCTCAGCAGGAGATCAGCCAGACTCAGGGATGTCAGGAAGGGCAGGGCACAGCAGCAGCAAGAAGAGTCCATACCGAAAGCATGGCAGGACCAGAATACATCTGCCCCTGGCCTGGGGGTCCCTGCCAAAGCCTCCCAAAGGGCCTGCCAGATGCACTCAGGAAAGCCAAAACCAAGCGAGGGTCTCCCCCCAAATCCGACCCAGCCTGCATAGAGGCTCTATCCCATTGACTTTGATTTGCACCTTGTCCCCACACAGATGTCCCCGGGGCAGGACGTGTGTGTTCAGGGTAGGAGAAACAAGCAGGCAACTTCTGGTAAAGATGTCAACATAGGTAAATGGATACTCAAATCTTCCCACATCAAAATACATCAAAAATACAACTGAGCTACTGAACAGCCATCAAGTAGAACCACCTAAAATCTAGCTGAATGGAAGTCCTGCACTAGGGATTTAAAGAAGCCACTTGGAGACCAGAAGAAGGGGCAGAGACGGGATGGTCCCACACCCACATGTGATGAGAAAATTGGGAGGGATACCTTGGCTTCAGAGGTTCCCCCTAAGGAACAAGGAAGCCCCAGCCCCACACCAGACCCCCCAGCCCAGGCTTCCAGTGCTGGAAAGACAAGTCCCCACAACTCCAGCTGTAAAAAAACCAGCAGGGATTGTGGCTGAGTGAGACACAGGGCTTCTGGAGTCCCAGGCAGGTCCTCTTAAAGGGCTCACTCTCAGACCTACTCAGACTCACTCCCTCTGAGCTCCAGCCCTGGGGCAGCAGCTTGAGAGGAACCAGAGACATACAGGGAGGAACTGAATTGTCTAGAATCAGGGCGAGAGTTGGGAGGGGGCAGCTTTCTGCCAAACAAAATTGCTGGCAGAGGCCACTGTTCCTTTCATGAGGCCCCCCGCCCCAAACACAGAGCTGACAGGTGGGCACCATATCCGAGTCTCTATCAGCTTGGCTCACACAGTTTGCCCCCCCGCCCCCTACCCCCCGTGATTCCCTGAGAACGGGCCCCATCCAACTTGCAGCCTCATCCAAGTGGTTTCCCTTGGCTTTTCCATACAACTGGCCTCTTTTGCCTCATGCTTCAGACTTTCCTAAAATCCCTCAGACAAACAGCATCTGGCCTCTGCATACTGCTAACCTCTTGCTGAGTGGCCCCAGACCTGGCATTAGCAGCAGCTGGCCTTGGTTCACGGCTTGGCCTCTCTTGGGCACCTCCAAGCCCAACACAAGTAGCAGCCATCTGCAGATTGCTTTGGAGCTCATGCTGGGTGGCCCCAGGCAGGGCACAGGCATTGGCTGACTTTGCGTCTCCCAGTAGGCCCCAGAGCCAGTGTACCCTCAGACCATGCCAGCTCACGACCCCACCACCTCCACCAATGACACATTCCTCACAGATGATTGAATGGCCTGAGGGTCAATCCCTCCCAGTGACACCAACAGCAGTCAAGGTTCAACTACAACAGGACAGTGCACAGAGCCCACACAGGTGCACCCGGAACACCCAGCTCGGGTGACTAGGGAGGCTGGACCATGGGGTGCTACAGGACACCTACTGCCACTCTAAGGATGCTCTAAGTCCGGGAGATGTAGCAGCTCTACACAATACATAAAAACAAACATGGGGAAGGGGCCAAAATGTGAGGACAAAGAAACAGGTCCCAAACGGAAGAACAGAAGAAATCTCCAGAAAACAAAACTAAATTAAATGGAGGCAAGCAAACTACCAGATACAGAATTCAAAATAATGGTTATAAGGATGTTCAAGGAACTTAGTGAGAACCTTAACAGCATGAAAAAGAACATAGAAACCATAAAAAAATGGTTTCTCCGAAATGAAGGATACACTGAAATGAAGAAATGAAGGCTACACTAACTGAAATTAAGAATAATTTACAAGGAATCCACAGTAGAGTAGATGATGCCAAGAATCAAATCAGTGATTTGGAATATAAGGAAGCAAAAAAAAAAAAAATTAAAACAGTAAAAAGAAAAAAGACTCCAAAAATATAAGGATAGCGTAAGGAGCCTCTGGGACAACTTCAAGCCAAAATATGCATAATGGGGATGCCAGAAGGACAAGAGAACGAGCAAGAAATTGAAAACCTATTTGAGAAAATGACAGAAATCCCTGACTGGGTGGCTCAGTTGGTTGGAGCATCATCCCGTAAACCAAAGTCTGCAGGTCTGATCCCCAGTCAGGGCACATAAGGGAGGCATATTTCCCTCTCACACTGATGTTTCTCTCTCTCTCTCTCTCTCTCTCTCTCTCTCTCTCTCTCTCTCTCTCTGTAAATACATTCTTGGGTGAGGATTTCTAAAAACAATAGAAAACTTCTCTAAGCTGGTGAAGCAAATAGACATACAAGTCCAGGAAGCACAGAAAGTCCCAAACAAGATGAACCCAAAGAGGCCCACACAATGACATATTAAAATTAAAGTGCCAAAGGTTAAAGAGAACCTTTAAAGCAGCAAGAGAAAAGCAGTTAATTAATTACTTACAAGGGAACTCCCATAAGACTGTCAGCTAATTTCTCAACAGAAACTTTGCAGGCCAGAAAGAAATGCAAGAAATATTCAAAATGATGAAAAGCAAGGACCTACAGCCAAGATTACAATACTCAGCAAAGCTATCATTTAGAACGGAAGAACAGATAAAGAGCTTCCCAGACAAGCAAAAGCTAAAGCAGTTCATCACCACCAAACCAGTATTACATGAAATATTCAAAAGTCTTTTTTTTAAGGAGAGGGGGGAAAAGAATAACAAATGTGAATAAAATGGCAATAAATACATATCTATCAACAATTGAACCTAAAAGTTAAAATAAATGAACAAGCAGAACACATACTCATACAGAGAACATTTTGACCATTGTCAAATGGGAGGGTGTTGGGGGAACAAGTGAAGGAATTTAGAAGTACAAATAGGCAGTTACAGAATAGTCATGGGCATGTAAAGTACAGCATAGGGAATCCAGTCAATAATATTCTAATAACTATGCATGATGTCAGATGGGTATGAGATTTGTTGGGATGTTATATAATGTCTAATCACAGGGGTGTACACCTGAAACTAGTATAATATTGTATGTCAACTATAACTGAAAAATAAAAAGTGATTTTAAAGTTTAAAGAAAGAGCTAGAAAAATACGTAAACACAGGTCTTAAAACCTAAAACCAAAGGCATGTAAGATTCCCTAAAATACGGAACTTCCTACTGGAGCCAGCGAGCCCCGCCCCTGGTGTCCAGACCAGACCAACCTTCCCTCCAAACAGGCGCCAGTTCCTCTCGCGCTTATCCGCCCCTGCGCAGGCGCAGCCGTCCCGCCCGAGGACACGTGCGGAAGCAGCAATGGCGGACCCTCAGCTGCAGCTGGTGGCACGGCGCATCCGCAGCTTCCCCGACTTCCCCATCCCGGGCGTGCTGTTTAGGTGCATGCAGGCAGGCGCGGGTGGGCCCCCTGAGACCAGGCAACCTGAGGGCTCTGCTGGGCGTTGGGCGGGCTGTCCGGGTGCCGTGGGATCCTCCCCAGGGTACCGCCGCCTGCACGCGGGGACCCATTCCCAAAGTTACCAGGCCTGTGTTTGCGCACCAGGGACATCAGTCCCCTCCTGAAGGACCCGGACTCCTTCCGCGCTTCCATCAGCCTCCTGACCAAACACCTGAAGAAGACCCACGGAGGCAAGATCGACTACATTGTAGGCAAGTGGAGGGTCCGGGGCGGGGCTCCTGTCCTTTTGGGATCATGAAGTGAAGGGGTTACTGGGTTTGGGCCAAGCCCCAGTAGGCGGGTTGTGTGGGGTTCCTTTCTCCTAAGCCAGGCAGAGAGGAAGGGGCGGCTCCACCTCTGCTCGGGGGAGGTCTTTGGTGGGGCTTCCTCAGGGGACCCGCCTGCAGGGTGCTTAGGTACTAACTCTGGCGTGGGCTATAAGGATAGGCCCCCACTACTTCGCAGCCTTATGAGGTGTAGCTGGCCCCTCCAGCTCCCTGGGGAATGGCCTCTGCTGGGTGGGTGCTGCCTCGCGGGCTGTGGGGCTGGAGGACAGCCCTCCCGACGCCCACCCAGTTCCTGGTCTCCAGCTCCAGGGAATATCTCTAGGGAGTGTCTAAACCAAAATACACTGGGCTGGCTGGGCATGCTCTCTTGTTCCCCTTCTACAAGCACATATTGAGTACCCACCCTGTGCCAGGCCCTGGACCCAGTGTGGGGCCTCCAGAAGGGAGCAGAGGAGATCAGGGAGGACTCCGGGGTCTTGTCTCCCTGTGGGAGCCCCACTGCTGACCCTCCCATGGAACCCGCCTGCCTTGAGGTCACAGCACTGCTGTTCCCTCTTCACTTGTGTGTGCCCCCCAGAGGATTCTCTCAGAAGTCCTCTCTCACCCCACGTCTCAGCACACTGTGAGAGATGGCTTGTCACTGCCTCTCCTGGAGAAGCTTCTGGGGCAGACACTGCTGTTAAAGACAAGAGTACTGTGCTGAACGTGTTTCGTAGTTACTACCAGCCCCATTAGAGATACAGCTGAGCTTTGGAAAAGAGGTCAGGTGACTTCCCCAGGGTCACTTGGTTATTTACTCAACAATGTAGGATGGACTTAGTCCCACTCTCCAGCACCCAGCAGTCCATGCATTTTAGGTCAGCTTTCTCTAACTGGATGGATGTCACTGGCCTTTTAGCTGGCACCAACAAGGTCAGGCACCCTAAGTCACTGGGGTGACTTCTTGTCATTACCCAGCCCTGACCAGTGGGAACCCTCAGCTGCCTCCCAATACCTTGGCTCTCTCCAACAGGCCTGGACTCCCGGGGCTTTCTGTTCGGCCCCTCCCTGGCCCAGGAACTTGGCTTGGGCTGCGTGCTCATCCGAAAGCGAGGAAAGCTGCCTGGCCCCACAGTGTCCGCCTCCTACACACTGGAATATGGGAAGGTGAGAGGGCAGGGGCTGCTGCTATGGACCTTCCATTCCAAAAGGGAAAAGTGTAGAATCAAGGAGAGCTGCCACAGTTGGAGTGGACAGTGGAGCTCAAACAGGCTGATGCACTGGGCCAGGTTCACACAGCCAAGCCACATGTGTTACAATTGGGACCCAGGTGGCAGCACCCCCCCACCGTCCTGGGCTCCGCACACCAAGGCCATTCTCAGATGTGTCGACTACACACCTGCTTCCCACTCACAGGCTGACCTGGAAATCCAGAAAGACGCCCTGGAACCAGGGCAGAAGGTGGTAGTCGTGGATGATCTGCTGGCCACTGGCGGTAAGGGTCTCCCCAAGTTTGTGGGGGTGGAGGTGGCTTGCTGTGTGTGAGAATTGGACTAGGTCCTTGACACTAGTTCATCTGCCTGCCAGGAGGGAAGCCTGTTGCAATGCCAGCTCCTTCCTCCCCCAACCCCCTGGGTGGCCTAGGCCACGTGGGGGACCTCACTCTGCTCCTCTCCCGCCCTACCAGGAACCATGTGTGCAGCCTGTGAGCTGCTGGGCCAGCTGCAGGCTGAGGTGTTGGAGTGCGTGAGCTTGGTGGAGCTGACATCACTGAAGGGCAGGGAGAAGCTAGGGGCTGTGCCCTTTTTCTCCCTCCTGCAGTATGAGTGACTCAATACCCCTGCTCACACCAACTAGGAAAAGAAGAGATCCGGCCTCCACTGCCTGCCAGCAGGCACTCACAGCCCACCTGGACTTCATCTAGCACCCAGGAACCTTCCTGTGGGTTCTGGAAGTGCAAAGGCCTGGAGCCCATAGCCCAGGGCAAAGCCAAGCCCAGGGCAAAGCCAAGCCCAGGCCGCTCAGCTTCATTTATGGTGAAATAAGAACATGTATGACCAACTTTACTAGAGTGGTATTCTTCAGTGCCCAGGATGGGATCTGGGCCTCAGGACGGGGAGGTGTGGGAGGGGTGCGAGGGGTGCAGGGACCCTGTGACTGGCCTGAGTATGCATGTGCATGCTTTCAGAGCATTTATAGCAATTTATGGTTCTCGTCTCTGGTAGGGGAGCAGGCTGATGCAGGAAGCAGGTGCTGCTCAAATTGGCTTGGTTGCCCATTGCTGCATCAGAAGATGCAAATTTGGAGGCTTAAAACTTTAGAAGTCCCTTGTATAAAATGGCATATTATTTATGCCTTGGCCAGTATGGCTTGGTTGGAGTGTCCCATAACCAAAAGGTGGGTTTGATCCCCAGTCCAGGCATGTACTGGAGGCAACTAATCAATGCCTGTCTCTCACATTGATACTTCTCTCCTTCTCTCGAGCAATGAAAAAATGTCCTTAAGCAAGGATTAAAAAAAAATAGCACTGTATTTACATATAACCTCTGCACTAAACAGTTGTTATACTCTACGAGGGAATAGACTCATCCATATATGTTCAGTACAGTCTCAGGATCCCTCCATGGGTTTGGGGGAGGGGGTTATTCTGCCAACCACACTGCCCAAACCCACTCTGGTAGGCACTGAAGCCACCCTACACCTGCATTCCATGCAGCGAAAGACAAAGCCTAGTGAAACCAGTTTAATGACAGCATACTATGTGAGGTGGGCACACCACCCACACTGGCCAGAGAATTTCCCCAGGCCCTGCAGCCAGAGCCCAGCTAAACCTCTGACACTCATGGGGACTCGGGAATGGGGGAGCAAAGTGCATTACATTCTTCAAGAATAAAACAGGCATCCAGGGCCTGGCCAGAGCTTGAGCTCACATGTGTGTTAGTGCACAGCCATCAGGCTCACAGCACCTCCTCGGCACGGGTAAGGCGAGCCAGCCGTTCAGTGACACCTGCCAGGTCAGCAGCCTTATCCAGCTTGACATATGTGTCCATGCGGATGCGGTGCAGGCTAAGCCAGTCTGGCAGCAGTTCAGATAGGAGCTGCACATGTTTCTCCATCTCCCCTGCAGAGAGAGGAGGCCTGTGAGCACATCTATAAGAGGGTACACACAGGTGCTGCTCCCAGCATCCACCCCCACCCCCAGTACTCCCCCCAGAAGGACTAGGGTTAGGGCAGTGACTGTACAACTTTCCCAAGGAGGTGGCTCTCCCAACTGAGCCTGTCACATGTCCCAGCCCTCCAAGATGCTTAAGCAGAGGTATCCTGAAGCTCTGGGACCAGAAGCCTCAAGGGGAGGGTAGTCTCCTGGGACCTCAAGGGCAAAGGCCAGGTTTGCAAGGTAGAGGCTGCCTCAAGTGGCTACAAGGTTAAAGTGACCAGGTGGAGACTCAGGAGATGACCTCAAGGGTGCTGTGCCCAGTCAATGCACACAAATGTGTGTAGAGAATAGTTCCCACCCTCAACTGGGACTAAGGGACACAAGGATTGGCTCCTGCTCCTGCACGCACCTGGGCTCATGGCCACGTGATAGCTGCTCACCATCCTGGCACAGGCAACCTCCATGGTGAGTGCTGGCTTGCGCTCGGACACAAAGATGCTACGCAGCACCCGGGCGAGCTCAGGCAGCCGCTCAAGCCGCTGCAACCTCTGTTCCTGCTCTGGACGCCGTGTCATCTGTGCCAGCTGCTTCTGCATCTCCTTGGCCCTGATCTGCATTGGGCATGGGGAGTGGTCAGTGGACAGCTGGCCCCACTGCCCCCATCCCTGGACCCCAGACACTCACCCGCTCCAACAGGTCCTGGGACACCCCCTTCAGGGGAGCGGGTGGAGTGGGCGGTGGGGTGGCTGGCAGTGCTGGGCTGAAGGACAGAGGGCTGCTGGGCTCAGCTCTGCGCAGGGCCAAGTCACTCAGGGCCTTCTCCATCTGAAGCAGGTCAGAGAGGAGAGCTCAGGAGAGGCCTCTCCTGGCCCAGCCACAGAGGAGGCCCCTCACACTCCATTTGTGTGGACCCCCTGCCCACGAGGCCCTCTTACGTCCAGCCCAAGTTTACCCCAGAATACCAAGAGACGTGTGCTGGGCACCCCAGGGTAAAACCTGCCAGTGGGCAGCACTCTGAACACAGGGAGGGCACATCCTACTACCACTGAGGCCCATGTGGGGGGTCAGGCTACCCCACCCTGAGGGAGAGGGTCCAGCCCCACCCTGGGTGACATCAGGCTGCGGGCTCGGGCCAGCACGTCCTGAGCGGTGGCCAGCTTCTCAGTGGTGGGTGGCTGGGGCAGCTCAGCAGGCTCGATGTCAGGCACTTCATCCACATTGAAGCGGGGGTGCCAGCGTGTCAGCTGGTCCTCGGGTACCACCATGGGGGGGCTCAGGGAGGCCAGGAATACCTGTCCAAGTAAGGGGGGCACAAGATGACCCTTGGCTCATCTGGCTGGGGTGTAGCAGGGCTGTCCTGGTTCCCATTCCCAGCTGGGCACCCTCAGGCACGAGTAGAGGACCCACCAGCACCCACTGAAGTTACCACAAAACTTCTAAGCCTTGAAAGAGCATCTCTGAGCTCCCTGCTCCTGTGTTCAGGACAGCCTGCCTCAGCTGGGAGCCAGGGCCAGGGTCCCCATTCAGCCCACACCCACCCCATCCATGAGACGACAGCCCAGTGGTGGAGAGGAGAGCTCGAGAACACTGCGTCTCAGGCAGGCCCATCTGCTGCTGGGTAACATGGGGCTCTGACAACAGGACAGAACAAGCACTGGCGGAGGGACAGAGCACAAGGCTCAGCACAGAGATAACTCGTACAGCTACGGCTGAGCTAGTCACCTCGGGGCTGCCGGCTCACCCTGTGGTGCTCACGGACGCGCTCCACCAGATTCTGGCTGAAGACCTGTCGTCGCTGCAGAAGGTGTGAGGCTGTGAGCTGGGTGGCTGTGTTGCCATCCTCTGCAGGAAGAATCCAAGCCTGAGCCCCTGGGCCAGGCCCACCTAGTCGCCAAGCCCCACAACCATGGGTCTCAGACCAGGGGCCCTGTGCCCAACACCTCATGCCCATGCTCAAAACTGCAGGGTCACAGGTGCGCCCATAGCACACTCACCCTGATCTAACAGTGGCTCGATGGTGAGCTGGTAATCAGACCTCTTGACATCATCCTTGAATGTGGGAACATTGCGCTCCTGGCGGAAGCGGTAGGAAGCAGGATACACGGTTTTGATCTGGCCCACATTGCGCTCCTCAAAGCGCCTGTGGGATGAGGGGGCCACAAGTCAGAGAGCTGGTCCACCTCCACTGCATGACACGACCCTTACCCTCCCAGGGACCCCACTCACTTGCGCATCATATCCTGGACGCCCTTCTTGACCTTGGCAAAGGTCACAGTCTCCAAGCGGTTGAAGAGCATGCCCACAATGGTGTCCATACTGCAAAACATCTCAGCCAACACCTGGTACTTATAGGGCAGCACAAGGCCAGGAGGCCCTGGCTGGGCCAGGGCATGGAAGCGCTGATAGGCAGGTGCCTTTTCTTCACTGCCAGGGAGGAAGCCAGGCATTGAGAGAAGCATCAGACCCACACCCCCTCCAGGACCCAAGGGCTGGCAAAGCAGCTGGGGATACCCCAGAGCTGGGGCTTACAAAACTGCCCCCACGACACACTGCATACCACATTATAAATTCCTTGTATGCCCAGCTCCCCATGACAAGCACTATCAGGGATGGAATCAGAAAAGGGTGGCTTCCAACCCAGCTCTGCCATGTCCTGCCCCATCACCTAGGGAGGTCCCTGGCCACCCCTAGCCATGGTTTCCTTATCTCTAAGAGACACATGATGACCACAGGAACTGGGGAAAACAGACATAAGGACAGACCTCAATAACAGCTGGCAGTCAACATCATTCGAAATTCACAAGGGCCCGCTGAGGCAGGAATTGGACCCCTCTTACAGATGAAAGAGGTAGGGAGCTAGTGACTGGCACCCCTGGGGTCTGAGTGCCCTATGGACTGTGCTGGCTCTTTTACATAGCAGCCCCAGCCCTGTCCACCCCTTCCCCTACCAGGCCTCCCACCAGCCTACCCTTTCCTGGGGTGCCTGACCACCCAAATTAAAACTCACCTTGGCCTGGATGAGTGCCCATTGGCCTCCAGCGCGCTGGGTTCCCCAGCATCATTCCTCTGGGCACTTGCCTTCAGCTCCTGGACCCGTGCGCCCAGCTCCCGGGCCCGTTTCAGGCACGACTTGAATTCTGAGAAGGTGATTTTTGAGGGGACCTAAAGACACAGGGTGCTGTCAGCCAGCCAGTCACCCATGCCCACCCCCAGCCCTTTGTCCAGCCTCCCCACCTTGTCCTCCTGGGGTGCCAGTCTGGGCAGTTGACCTGCTGAGAGGGCAACCTTCTTTGTCTTCTTGCTCAGAGAGGAGTGCTCCGGGGAGCTAGGGGCCTCTGCAGAGCCAGGGCCAGGGACCTGGGGGAAAGGACCCCATAGGTGAATAAATGATAAGACTCTGTGGGGTGCTGGCTCTACACAAAGAGAATTTTCTGCTGCCCTCAGTCTGGCCTCTTAGAAGCATCTCCATTAAGGGAAGGACCTGGCCCACCCACCTGTTTGTTCTTTTCATGAGAGTTACAGGGCTTGACCCCCAAGCTAGCCCTGCAGATGGGCCTGGTATTTACCAGCCCGCTCAGCTCTGGCCCTCCCCAGCATCCGTCAGATCCGCCAGCTCAAAACTGCTCCCCTATCACTCAAGTCCTCTCCAAGGCGAATCCTTAGGGTGGCCCCAGTACGCCGGCCTGGCGGCTCGGACTTAGGTCCTGCAATGACTCCCAGTCTGTTCTCTCGCCCAGACCAATGCCCAGTCCTCTCACTCGGTGCCTCGGTGTACACCCCTGGTCCGCGTCCTCCCTCCAGGATGTGTCTCTGCAGAAGCCCTCCGCGGCCTGCCACCCTCCCCGCACCGCCCCGGTCTCTTTGCACCCTCACCACATCCGCGGTCAACTTCAGCTTCCTGCGTGCGGGCGGCGCGGGTTCGTCGCGCGTGGGCTCATTGCACGCGGGATCGTCGGGCAGGCGGGCGCGCTTGCGCCTGCCGCCCGAGTTGGGAACGCGGACGTGGGGCGCGGGCTTGGCGGAGCTCGGGGTGCCCCAAGTCGGCTTGGTACGCGACAACGCGGCTCGGGGTCCCGGGCGGCGGTGCGCAAAGAAGTCAGTGAGGCGGCGCTGAGCCATGACGAGGATGAGACCCGGGCCGGGAGCGGGAACAGGGCAGGGGAAGCCAGACAGCGGGAACGAAGAAGCAGGAGACCGGCAGGGAACGGAAGTGAAGCCGCGCTTTGCTCCGATTCTCCCGCCACTCGTGGCCCCGCCCCCTACGCGGGCGGAACCATGAGCGTGGGGGTGGATGGGAAATGGACGCGTCCAGGCCCCGGCGCTAGAGCGCTCTCTGGATTTGCGGACGGTGCGCACGGATCTCAGTGCTGCTCTTTCTGTGGGTTCGCTGATCTTCCGCTTTTCAGGCTCTCCATGGAGTCTGCGTGGGATGGCGCGATTGGGCTTGGTTACCAAGCCAGTGCAGTATGGGAATATGATACAGTGTGTTTCACAGGAAAATGCTACGCTATTTGCAGCTTAAGTTTAAATATATTGCAATAAAACTAACTGCGCTGTGCAGGGGCGCCGGGCTAGGTGTCCGGGCGTCACCCGGCTGTACACGTGACCTAGCTGTGCACGTGACGAGAGCGGGGCGCGAGTCCACTTCTTGGCGCTTCCTTAGCACAACCAGGGCTCTGTGCGCGGGTACTATAGACAAGGAAAGTCGGGTCCAGATCGTGGGCGACTTCTCCAAGGTCCCCCCAGCTGGAGAGTGATCTTGGCGGGGGGGCGGGGGAAACAATCCGAAAGAAAAATGTTCTGGAATTAGAAACATAAAAAAACAGAATTATATACTGTTTTATTCTTTTTATTTTTTTTAGAATTGTATACTTTCTAAAGAGTGAACTCTATGATGTGAATTATAGCTCGTTTGTTTTTATTTTAAAGAGTTGCTGTGAAGTTAGCTGAGTTTAAAAGAAGTGTTCTTAAAACCCAAAGCTTAGTTTGAAAGACTTGAGAGCCTGATGGCAGATAAGCAAATCCCAATGCCTCTGTGATTCCAATCACAGAAAAATGCCGTTCCTCCGGTCCTGAAGTGGGCCTACAGATCTGAGAGAAAAAGAAATCACAGGTGTTGTCTTTGGAAAGGGTAAGGGCTGAGAAAGGGGCTTTACTTTCTCAAGTTTTCTGTAAAAAGCATGAATTGGGCCTATTAAAAAAAGAAGTTTAACAGAAATACCAGGTGATGCCATTGGTGCTTGCAAAACGACAAGAATGAAAGTCAGAGGTTGATAAAACAGGTGGGTGAAGCATCACATTTCCTATTTGTACAAAGGGTGCCAGCGATTAGCACCTTGGTTTGTAAACAGCCAGTGGCAAAGTATTAGCAGAACAGAAAGCAGTGTGGAAGGTTGTGGCCAGCATGTTTAAGGCCATGTCTTTGTTAAACTTGTTTTGCTATGTGTGCTGTGGGCCATCACTTAAAATTTATTTCTTAAAACAGCAGTAGGGGGGTAGAGGCAGGAACTGACTTGAGCCGAAGTGGAGCACTCCCAGTGAAGCCTACTGTTCAGCAAAGAGGGAAAGCTTGCATGATTCTGGAACTGTAACGGGAATGTAATCTCTTGAATCACAGCTGCTCATCAGGAGAAAGGGAGTTATCTACTCGCCCAGTACATGGTGGCTCCCCACTCTCTGTCTCACATTTAGAAAATAAAGAAGCACCTGCTATTGGAAAGGTACAGGCAGCTGGATCTCACTGCAAGAGGTATGTCAATTCCGGCTGCTGGCACTTTGGCCCTGCACCTGCCCTCTGTAGATAAGCTGATGGTCAGAATGTGACCAGTAGGCCTCCTCAGGGCTTCCAAAATGCTGAGCAGTCTCCACCAACATTTCATTTGTCTTGCCACCTGCCCACCCACAGAGTGGTGGAACCACAGAGTTCTTTCCTGGGCTCATGCCATCCCAGTGCTGTGCAAAGCGGTTGGAGGCAGGTCCCAGGGTTGTAAGAAATGCAGGAGACCCCCTGAAGAGGTGACTCCCTTCCCGCCTGACCACCATACAGCTGTGTGACGGGCATGCACAGCCAGGCACATCCACCTTAAGGGGACCCCTGGGAAGGAAAGAGTCAGGCACAACATTGCAGTCATTTTGGCCAGCCCCAGGGCTAGAGCCTGGAGGCAGGAGTGGGCCCTAGCAGCCCCAAATGGCTCTGAGGATGAGCTAAATCCTGGATGGACCATCCAAGGGGTCTTGTAGATCTAGAACATGAATGTAAAATGAGTCTGTCTCATGTGGGACGAGGGGCCAGAAATGTTAGCACTCTGGGGACCTAACAGTGTGGTCTTCATTGACCCCTCGCCATCAGCCAGCAGGAAGGGGGCATGCCACACATCAGGGTCCTCGGTCACCTCTCCAGTGCTATGGCCAGGAACCGTGCCCAGACATGGGGTCTGGCTGGGCCACTGTTATCCCTAGGGAGTAAGCCTTTTGGGGACAGCACCTTCTCAAAACTTTCCTACCCACCAACAATGGAATGCAAAGTGTATGACAACCCCCCTATCTCCCGAGGAGAGGTGCAAAGCCAGCCAGTCAGATCCTTCCCTGGGACCTGAGATTCTGGAGCTAGAATCACCTCTCTGTCTTTTTTGATTTCAAGAAGTGAGATGGAGTAGGGTGACAACGTCTACCATGTGTGTCTCCAAACACAGAAGAGTATGGTTTTATTCCATAGTGCCAACATGCAGTAGAAAAACCAGTGAATGAAGAATAAGTGCTGTGCCTTGCTTTAACTCATTTCTGGCACATAGCAGGCACCCAAATATATGGTGAATATGTGGCCCCAGAGAAGGTGCACTGGTTCTCTACTGCTGCATAACAAATCTTCCCAAACTTAGCAGCTTAAAATAATCATGTTATGTTGCACAGCTTCTGTGGATCAGAAATTTCAGGGTAGCTTGGCTAGATGGTTCTGACTCAGGGTCTCATGTTGCTGCAGTCAGATGGCAGCTGGGCCTGGAGACACCTGGAATGCTCCCTTGCAAGTGTGGCATGTGGGAAGAGTTTGGCACCTGGGGCTGGAAGAGTGGGGACTGTGTGGGCCTCTTCTCTCTCCCCACCTTCGTCCCCGCCCCCATGGGTCTCTCCCTGGTGTTCAGCATGGCACCCTCAGGGTAACTCTGGGCTCCCCAGGTGGGACAGTGAGACAGCATGCAGGTTGCATTCCCCCCGCGCACACACACACACTTTTATTCAAAGCCAGTCAAATTTAGCACTGGGGGCTTGTATACCAACTTCAATGACACTGACAGTATCAGGTTCTGGTAACCCACTACCATCTGACCGGCCAGGCTGTATACCTTTTTTTTTTTTTTTACTTTTTTTTTAAGATTTTATTTATTTATTTTTAGAGAGGGAAGGGAGGGAGAAAGAGAGAGAGAGAAACATCAATGTGTGGTTGCTGGGGGCCGTGGCCTACAACCCAGGCATGTGCCCTGACTGGGAATTGAACCTGCGATGCTTTGGTTCGCAGCCCACGCTCAATCCACTGAGTTACGCCAGCCAGGCAGGCTATATACCTTTTTATGGCTGATCCCTGGAAGTCCTTCAGTGCCACTTCAGCCCTTCCTGAGATGGAGGGGTTGCACAGGTCCACCCAGGCTCCAGGGGAGGGAATGTAGGCCTCGCCTCTTGATGGAGCAAGGCCCTGTCACATTGCAGGAAGAGCTGTCTGGAGGTGAGGTAGTGAGCTCCAGCAGTGAAGTTCCACCAGGACAGGGGATCCGAGCACTGAATGTTGACTGCCAAAACGCAAATGCTTCCTGTGCACCCTGCATGGTCCTAAGAACTTTACACATACTGTCACGCTTGATTCACAAAAGCCACCTAGGTTATGGATTCTACAAATATGCTCATTTCATGGGTGTGGAAATTGATACTAGAGAGGTCGAGCCACTTGTTTCTGACCACGCAGCCTGCAAATAGCAGAGCTGAGATTCAGGCCTCACCTGGCAGGGCCACCTCTCAGGGCTACCCAGGTGGTCCCCGTCCTGGACTGTAATGGCTTGGGTCTTCCCCCGACCGGCTCCTGAAAAGCTCATCAACTTCATTTCTTTGCCAGCAGGGTCTGTGCTGGGACTGGCATATGGTTGATATTCAGTAGTTGTGGGATGACCTAAACTGTTGACACACAGTTTGGCCTGGAGGACTGTCATGGTCTCTGGTTTGCTTTTCCTGCAGAGTTCCGCATCCCCGTTGTTGGTGCTGCATCAGTAAGCAGCTATACCTTAAAGACCCAGGAAATCTTACGCTTTTCACTCTGTTTCTGCACCCTGGTCTCAGCCCATGTCCTCTCCCACCTGGACATCCACAGTCGCTCTCCACCGTGTCCCTGTGGTCACCTGGCTTGGCTCAATCCTAAATTAGAGAATCTATAGTTTTAGAGTTTACTGAGGTGTCGGTATTCCGACATATGATATACACACAGGAATCGTTCACAGTCTTTATTTGCATGCCCCCAGAAGCAGACCCTGACTCAAGGATTTGGGGGCAAGTCAATTATTTGGGAGATGGTCCCAGAAAGGAGGCACTGGAGAAGCAAGGCAGGGAAGGGCCAATATGCGGTGAGTTCCTGAACAGGTGATCACCTAGGGTGACAGCTGAGGATGCTGGGGCTTCCTTTCTTCAGGATCTCTGGAGGATGCTGTAGAACACTCTCGGCATCATCTCAGCTGGGACTGAGGAAGCTGGGTGTTTGTACACAGACTGTCCTCACTGGGTGGGGGCTGCTCCCAGGGGCCTTAGCCAGCCCTTCATGCCTGCACTTTGCAGGTCCAGACTGCTCCACCTTTATGCAGAGAGACCTGGGAAGCCGTTCTCATGAAGGGAAACTGCTTACAAGTCACCCTCAGGTTACTCCTTGAAGGAACTGGGGTGCACTATCATGAGTGCCTGCTACACTTACAGACGGTGTGAGTAAACACAGAAGCATGTCTGTACAGTTGAGCAGTTCTCAAAGTGCGCCCCTGAGGTCAAAACTGTTTTCATAGCCCTGGCGCCAGTGTGGCTCAGTTGGTTGAGTCTCATCCCACAAAGTGAAAGGTCACCGGTTTGATTCCTGGTCAGGGCACATGCCTGGGTTGCAGGCTTGGTCCCCCGTCAGGGTATGTGTGAGAGGCAACTATCTCACATTAATGTTTCTCTCCCTTTCTCC